TCTCACCTGTTGTTCTCCGTTTCTCTTTATCATCCCTTCTATCTTCGTTTTGTGTCTGGTTAGAAACCTTACAACCTTTGTCTCACATATTCTAATACTCCGTATTTCTAAAAAGATTGGTTCCTCTATATATTTAACTTCTTTCCTCTCTATATGAATCCCTATTTTCTGTTTTCCTTCATTTTTTAGTTTGGGTTTCTCGTAAAGAGCGGAGATGATTAATTTCCCCCATTTCCAAGCTTGACTTGAATTTCAATATGGAATGAATATGTATTAATGGTCAGGGGCTGGTGAGTCAACTTTCGTTTTAGAGTTCGAGCTTCAATTTTTATGGTTCAATTTGAGCCATATAAAAAATCTCATCATTTTTTACATTGATTGAACAAGGTTAAAATGTGTTCTTGTTGGAATTCGTTTATACGGTGGCCTATCTTTTTTTATATGAGTGGGGTGGAAGACAAAAGCAGAAAGGGACAAAAAAAGGTTGGTTTGCGGTGAGGAGGATGGGTGAAAGAAGAAACCAGCAATAGGGCTGTTAACGAGCCGAACCGAGCCCGAACACCCAAAGCTCGAATTCGGCTCGTTAAGGAATAAGGGGTGTTCGGGTTCGAGCTCGAAGCTCGGCGAGCTTTACAAATGAGGCTCGTGTTCGGCTCGATAGGCGTTCGATGTTCGAACCGAGCGCTCGATAAGCTCGATAAATATGCCCGAATTTAAAATTTTAGATGATGCTCGTTAATAGGCTCGTGCTCGAATGGTTCGACAAGTATTCAGTTCATTAATAATCATATTTAAATTCATAAAACCATACTAATTATATTTAAATTTTGACATATATAAAATTATTTTTAAAATTTTAGGGTGTTCGATAGGCTCGAGTTCGAACCGAGCCGAAAACTACTATGTTCGAGCTCGGCTCGATTAATTTTTCGAACTTAAAACTCAGCTCGAGTTCGAGTTCGAAGCTCTTTAAGCTCGGCTCGTTAGGTTCGAAAACGAGCTCGAGCTCGAATAGTTTGATAAAAGCTCGGTTCGTTAACGGCCCTAACCAGCACTAGAGAAGAAGGGATAGAGATGAGGCGGAACAACAAAGAAGAATGGATAGAGATTAGCATATACTTCCTTTAAGTCCTTTTGAAGTGACGACGCCGGTATCCTTTCAAAAACTGGGATGTCATACCTACCATACATCAGATTGGTCCAAATCATTCTATTCCTTTTAATTTAAATTTAATTAATTCAACTTCATCATTCCTATTGGTCCATGTGGACAAAGATATGGTACCTTAAGGGTACCATAGAATCTACTCCTTTTTAATTGCAACAGTAAATATTTCACGTTTGCCAACGCACAAGTTTGACTATTAATATCTTTCATCCCTTATTAGTAAAAAAAATTAAAAAATTCATATTTTGAAAATTTAGAATGAGAAGAATTTAACAATATTTTTTAAAAATTTAATTTATAATGCATTAATTAATAAAATATAGTCGAAGTAGAATATGTGAATAGCGCAAAAAGTCCAATGTTGCAATTAAAAGAGAACAGATGTAGTATTTAATTAACATGTGTGTATATTTAGGGGTGGGCGCGGTCTGGAACAGTTCGGTAATTAGCAAAACCTGTAATGTATCTGTGATGTTTCTATCGGTTCGGTACGGTCCGGTTCTAAGAATAGAACCATTCGGTACCATGTCGTTTCGGAACGGCACAAAACAGTTCAGTACAATGCCAAACACATGCCGAAACATTTGAACAAATTTTGCTATTAGTAGATATCATCACACGAGCCAATTGACGTGAAAATTTGATGAGAATATAAGAAAGTGCATACTAAATACTAGAAAAGATTCAACAGGTTGACACTTATGTATTTAAATTTAAAAAGACTCAAACCGTGAAAGAAATTTAGTAAAAATATAGCAAAATGCAATATACAATCGTATAATATCATCTGTATTAAGTTCACGAGAACATATAAAAGGAATATCGTTAAATTATTGAACATAATACAAACATTTAATGTTTTTCTTTGTTCTAAGTTGAATATTAATTCTAATATAGTTCATAGTCGAGGCGTAAGAGCTATGATTCAAACCATATTAATTAAGTTATAAAACTACACAAATATGATACAACAAAAGTCATATACACTACATTACTACAAATTAATAGTCTTTAATGTTGATGGATAGTCTACCCGGGGGGTATCTTATCCGAGGGGTTATTGCGGGAATAACTAGAGAGAAGTCAGAGCAAAATAGGAGGAGAGAGAGTCGATTTATTAAATGAACTCAGCGTGTGGAGTTGGGATGTAGGTTGTGTTTTACAAGGAGAAATGGGCTGCTATTTATAGCAGCAATAAATGCGATGAGAGGACACGTGTCAGTAATCCAACGGCCGAAGGGTCACATCAGCCTAGTGGCACCGGCAGTGGTACGTCAACCGCATTGAATGCGGTTGGCGGATGCGACGTGGCATTAAATGCGGTGGTTGGCTGTCTCTAAAAGGAATCTTCGATGATTGAGCTCGTTCAGCCGAAGGCTCCTCGTGTAGCCGAAGGCTCCTCGTGTAGCCGAGGGCTCCTTGTGTAGCCGGGGGCTCCTCGTGTAGCCGAAGGCTTGGTTCAGCCGAAGGCTTCCCCTGGTGCTGAGGGCATGAGAATGCCGAAGGCTCACGTCTCCGCCTGTTTTCTCCCAGCAGCTTCTTATGCCAGAGAAGGCTATCCTGTGAGTTTTGAAGCCTTCGGCCAAGGAGGCCGAAGGCACCCCAGTGTGTATTCTGGGCCACTTTGAGGCTTGGGCCGTTGTATTTGGGCCTGAGTTGTTTCCTGAGTTCAATGGACTTGTGTAGGAGGAATAGGAGTCTATGGGCCGGGGGTTCCTGGGCCATATACTCCATCAAATGTTTTTTAACTTTGGCATTCTTTCATTATATACCAAATACTTCGTATAACATAAATTAATATCTAAAAGGAAAAAGTAATAATATTTATATAACACACACGTAGCTATTTTAAGAATGCATGAATACATACTTGGGTTATAAAATTGTTGGTCAATAAAAGATATTTATGGGTATGGAATAATATAGGCTAAAGGGTCAAATAGGCCCTTGAACTGACTTAAAGTGATCAATTAGCCCCTTATATAGGAGGTTCTGTCCGGCCGTCGCTAATTGGGGCGGTTCCTGGTAGAATTTTTTTAAGAAATTTTTTTAGCATCTTGTTCATTAAGTCTAGTTTACCCATACCAAATTTCAGCTAAAAATTCAACCGGGAAGGCAGTCAAATGATTTTCCGAAATGTATTGCGCTGTGTAACTTCGCAGTTATCTTCAAAAAATCATTTGACTGCCTTCCCGGTTGAATTTTTAGCTAAAATTTGCTATGAGTAAACTAGACTTAATGAAGAAAATGCTCAAAAAATTTCATCAAAAAATTCCACCGGGAACCGCCCCAATTGACAACGGCCGGGCAAAACCTCCTATATAAGGGGCTAATTGAACACTTTAAATCAGTTCAAGGGCCTATTTGACCCTTTAGCCAATAATATAAAAAAATCTCAAAGACATTATTTTTGAACGGTTCGGTCCGGTATTTTTCGGTTTTCAAAATCTAGGACCGGTCTCGTACCCGTTTGAAACGGTACAATTTCGGTTCGGGATAAAATTTTATAGAATCATTTAAATACCCGATATTCGGTTCGGTACCATTACGGGCCGGTTCGGTACCGGTTCGGTCCGGTTTTTATGCCCACCCCTATGTATATTATTACTACTCCGTACTATGCCGGACGGTGGAGAGTTTGGTAATGAGCTATCAAAATATATACTATCATCCGTTCTTTAATTCTTGCGACTTTCACGTTTACCAACGCACAATTTTCACTGCAATTATATTTAATTATGTATTAGCAAACATTATAAAAAGTAGATATTGTGGAAATTCACATTGATGGGAATTCAATAACATTTTATACATAATAATTTGATTATGTATATTAGTAGGAAATCGTGGTCAAAGTAAGGTATGCGAATAGTTCAAAAGGTACAATGTTGCAAGAATTAACTAATTGATGAAGTATATATGGGCTGCACTTTGAAGGCATAGCCAGCTTTTAATAGTTATTATTGAGTTATTACTACTATTAGGGAAAATCGCACTTTTAGTCCCTCAAATAGTCATGAATATGAAATGCCAAACCCATATTTCTAATATTGTAAATGTCACCCCCCAATTGTCCAAATTGTTGTAAATGTGGTCCTTTAAGGGGTGAAATATACTCGCGCCCATATTGTATATTTGACCTCTCAAAGGGCCACATTTACAACATTTAGGACAATTGAGAGACAACATTTACAAAATTGGTAACACGGGTCTAACATTTCATTTCCGTGACTATTTCAAGGACTAAAAGTGCGATATTCCCTAACTATTACTATTACTATTACTATTAATATTATCACTATTATTAATCGAATATATTTGAGTAACATTCGAATCGAATATACTGATATTCGTATTTGTATTTGATAACAATTCGAATCAAATTTAGTATTCATATTTGTATTTGTATTTGAAATTTTAGAATTCGAATCGTCTTATACGAATTCGAATCCCGAAGCGAGCATAAATTATTTGATTCGTATACAACCCTAATTGAGAATTGATTAAAAAATACAAAATATGTATTAAAAAAGAGAAATATAGGGAACTAAAAAATCATTGAGCAGACAACCTATGTACTGAAATTTGTCCTGATGATTTGGGATGATTTTACTTTGTAATTTATCGAACAGACCAGATCAAACTTAAATAGTTATAAAAATACAAAGAAATTAGATCAGACCGGTGGTCAAAACTCAAAAGTAAAAACAGATTGACCGTATAACCGGACAGTACAAGTCTGGGAGCAGATTGACCGCGACTTCAGTTGGGACTGATGGACCTCCTTTTTCATTTTCAACGACTTTTCAACGACTTCTTAGAAAGACGGTCGATAACAGCTACCTTCAGCTGTTTGAACTTTGCAAGAATCAGGAAAGACAAGCATTGAGAGATGGATCAAAGTGAGATCACTCGTAAGAAAAAAATACACTAATCACGTGGGGGAAAGGCGATAAGATTCTTCATCACTATTAAATAACAACGCTTGATTATGATCTACGTGCGAATAATATACACTTTCTGGTCTGATTTGAGGCATCCGATTCCCCAGCAATTTGTAGTCCTTTCAAGTGAGAAGCAGCCAGTTCATCTCTCTCTCTCTCTCTCTAACGCACGCTCTCTGTAATCACCGGTTAAATCTCATTCCATATTCTTCTTTCCTTAGCCAACCATTGAGATTCTCCATCGCTGCTATTTCAAGCGATGAAGTGATTGTGAGTTCCATCTGGGGCATACTTGCTGCAAACCGAACCAGGTTATACTCTGTTCTTCCTTCATTTTCTCCACATGCTTGCCCAGGCTTAGACATTTTTTAGCTCAGTTATGGAGATTATCAACATAAAAGAAAATTTGTAGTTTCCTGGCCGCAAATTATAACTTGGGGCTAGGTGGAAGTTCTTCCTAAGTTATACGTACTACAAGACTACAAGTATGCCTTATACCAGCGGACTTTCGGAAGTCATTCATATTTCACTTCATGGGGTGTTTGGGTGGGTGCATGAGTACTTCTTGGTGTTCCAAAACGCTTCTAGAAGCAGTTTTTTAGATGTTGGGGCCTGAGGGAGACCCGCTTTTGGAAAACTGTTCTGATTCTATTTCTGCTATTAAAAAAGAAGCAGAAACAGAATCAATTCCAAACGCCTCATATGTTTATCTTTCAGTTCCCTTTATGCTAGAAGCCTAGAACTTATTAGCAGTGATTCGAGCCGGACCTTATATGGCAGTGCCACAATAGATGTTTCTAACTTCTATCTATTGAATAGTTTAAAGGAGCTGGTCTTTCTCTCATTTCTGGCACATTCGCTTAGGGTCTGGACAGCCAGGCCGTCGGGATGTATTCAAATCAGTAACCCACATTTTTTTCCTTTTATTTGATGTGTCCAAATTTCCGATAGGGGTTGCTAATAATTTTCTTTATTTGTTACTTTGAGATAATCATTATTAGTATAACTTTTTGGTTCAAGTTCAAGCAGAACTCGTATTCATATAGTTGCTGGAGTGTTTATCTTTATGTCTTTATGAGCACGTGAGCATTGTCTTACACTCTTATAGTAATTCGTAAGTTTATCTTATTGTTAGTTTTTTTTTTTTGAAATATTTTTACAGCTCAACTACTTAAAAATGGAAGCCTATGAAAGGGATGCATTACCAATATTATCAGCTACAGATTTTAGAGATGAAGAAAATGATGGAATTCATTTCCGAAGACTTTCGTACAGGGCAAGGAGATCACTATCTATTCCTGCCAACTCCAGTGAGTCATATGGTACTGAAAGTAGTCGCATTGGATTTACTGGTCCAATGATAAATGAAAGGCATACTTCTTACATACAGATGAGTGGTCCATTGTATGTTGGGCACCCACCAAAGAGCAGCCTCAGGCCATGTCAAGTAGCATTAGGACTCAACTCAATCGGGACAGTTGAAACATATCCATCCTTTGCTAGAAGGGAACCAAATGGTCGCGAAGACTATGACTATGAACTGAAAAATGAACATCTTCTTAAATCGGGGCCACTGGGAGTATGCAATGACCAATACTGCACTACATGCCCAACTGTTGACATTTCTAAGGTGCAAGGGGGAAAGTCAAAATCATCACAGATATTTGATCACAGGGTATTTTGCCTTATCCTCACTTATTTACCTACTTAGATGAATGCTTTTTGTTATTCTTGTCGGTCAAGATTGTACCATACTTGGTTGTTATTCTTAAAGGACAAGGAGCTACATGTAATAGATGCATGGACGCATGGTATGTGCTATTAAAATGCAGATCTAGCTTTAATGATCTTAAACATTGTAAAGAGTATACTTTAAAGAATTTTGACAAATATAGTTTGTCTATTTTTCATCCTTGCTCTTACTGGAGAGTTTACCTCAAAGTGACAATTTACCTAAAGTACTCTAATTCTTTGTAGTTAATGTGACTGCATGCAGTTCCATAATATGATCTCTGAAGATGCAAAAGGTTGGGCAAAGAGAAGTTTTTCTTTCTTTTGGTCGTTTTTTCCTGGTGTCATAAACCCTCATGCTAAGGTGGTACAACGGTGGAACAAGTTCTTTGTGGTCTCTTGTTTACTTGCAGTTTCCATAGATCCACTGTTCTTCTTTTTGCTGACTGTCAATCAGGTATTCACTTAATTTTGGTCATTTCAAATACTTAGACAGATCTTGCACTTCAACTAAACTACATCCTCAATGCATTTAGAAATCTGTGTAGGCTTCTATTTTTATGAGGTGGTAAATGATATGTAGCTTTTATCTATTTTAGAGTATACGTAGTACTGTCTTTGTTAGCTTAGTTTCAAAAATATAAGTTAGAATTATACTACATTCCCTGCCCAGCTGTGAGATATGAATACTTTATATAGGATGTAGCATTTGTGTACTACATAATTTCATAGTTAAGTAAGGGTGGTTGATGATGCAAGCTTGTCCTGAATGGAAAATAGTGTTGCTGAAAACACTGCTTGAAATTTTGCTTTTATGAACACTGCTACTTATTTATGTCACAAGCAAATGAATCGAATGAATTATCAACACTAAAGCATGTGAATTAGTTATCATTAGAAGTCAATACCATAAGGCATTTATCACAATACTCTCTCTGTCCCATTTAAAGGCTCCCATATATTATTCACACAGTCAACATGGCTCTATTTTAATCTTTAATTTTATACTACGTATAAGTTGTCATTTTTTTTTCAATTCAGTAAAAGTATAGAACTTATAGCATACTTTCTAAATATGTAAGCTTTAATTATTGAACATAATATACATTTAATCAGGGAAGAGTTTACTTTATCATCAGTCAACCATCTTAAACCACACAAAAGACCTTGATATGAGATGTAGGGAGTACAAAATAAAAGCACCAATTTTTATCAATGCTTTCATTTTTGGACCACAAGAGATGCTAGAGTAAAAGGGTAAGACAAGAAGCGGCAGGTCGGACCAATTGATAGAGATTAAAGAGCCAAGGGTATATATAATCAAGAGGGAAGATATTTAATAAACTGACATCAAAATGAAGATAATACACATGTAGGAGTTATTGAGTTTAGCGAAAAAAACATGAAGTACCCAAAGGTATTCCCCAAAATATTAACCTGCCCAACAACCTAGGCTGCCCTATTCTAAAAAAGTCACAAATTCAATTCAATTTTTGATGCCTCCTACGCTAAAGGAGGCCTTTATTTATAATCTATGACAAAATTTAAATAAAATTAGAAATCAACTATTCCTGACATCAAGCTAATCATAATCTATTGCTAAGATCTTTCATTTAATGAAATATGATTCGGTATGATCCTTTGATTGATTCGTTGAATTTTGTCAATTGATTATCTGATTTCTTTCCTTCCGTAGAGGTTGGAGCATATGCCTATCATTTTCCTTGATTTCCTCTTCATCTATCATGCGCACAGTTTTATATATCTTGATCATTGACTTACCTGCCTTTCTTTTGTTGGTTTTGTATGTCATGAGTTGCCACCTTTAACCGTTCAAGATGTTTTTACTTTTTTCCCGAATGTAACTGTAGTTATGGTTTAGTAGTTTTGCAATGATAGCTACATTTCCAGTTTTTTATAACATGTTTATTGCTTCTCTAATGTTATATTAGTTGGGTATGTCTCGTGAATCACTAGTCTCATTTTTGTTATAGGATGACAAATGCATAGTACTTAACTGGGCACTGACAACTACAGTTGTGATTTGGAGGAGCTTGACTGATTTCATATACCTAATACACATGCTTCTTCAGGTGACTATTTTCTTCTTGCACTTAGACTCCTTTGAAGGACATCTTTGCTATTATAACGCTGAGACCTGATTTCTCTTCTCTTTACAGCATCTGCTGTTGCATAAGTGTATGGGTGTCAGTCTTACTTGAATTTACTTGACTGGGTTAGGTCTCTTTTGGTGGAAGTATGTCTCCTTCCATCCAACAGTTCAGGATTGTAACCCTGGCTTGCCCTAGCTGCAAGCATGCATGTGGCAGAAAATGACAATGGCATTACAGAATGAAACTTTTTTATGCCATGAAGAAAATGAGTGTCAGGACTATATGTCACTTCAACTGATTCTCAAATTCCAAATTATGTTTGCAGTTTCCTTGTTCAAGTTGCAAAATCATCATTATCATTATCAGCACCTTAATACTGACGACCCGGGGTTGGTGAAGTGAAATTTATAGTACCAATTAATTCTCTAACTTTAGTTAATATTATCATGCATAAACAAATAAAGCATTCTTCTGTTTGTGTTGTTGAAACAGATGTTTCTTATCTTTGTTTGTTTGTGGTTCCATTATTTCTTCATCTGGGAAAGTAACTACATGCGAACTTCATTATTTTGTGAACTGGACACATTTAGTTGGCTTCATTATGCCAATTATTACCTATCACATCTAACTCCAATTTTGCAGTTCCGGCTGGCTTATATTGCACCAGAATCCAGGGTTGTGGGATCGGGTGATTTAGTTGATCATCCCAAAAAGATCGCTGTCAATTATCTTAAAGGATATTTTTTGATTGATTTCCTTGTTGTCTTGCCATTGCCACAGGTAAAAATCACATACTTTGTTAAAGCAAGTTGTTTGCATTTAAACTTCCAGCAAATTGCAAGATTAAATTCCCAAAATAAGAGTAAAACATGGCCCAAATGAAAAAATAGGAGTTATCGTTTAAAATTCCCTAAATGGGAGTAATTATGTGTGTTTGGACAAAAATGCCCCTGTAGGGGTTCGGACTGCCACCAGGCTGCTGCTGCTGGACCACCAGCCGCCGCCAGTGCCCCCACCAACTAGGGGGGAATTAATTATATTAATTAATTTTATTAGGGATAGAAAGGTAATGTTTAGTCCTATTTAGAGAATGAAAACATTGAGTCCTATTTGTGCATTTATGTTTAGGTTTAGTCCTATTTAGGACAATTTCTCAATGCAATATATTGGTCAGAATTCTCTATTACATAATGTAGCACCACCGCATTGTGGTTATGCTTGCTCCACACACAAAAATACTGTACTATCTCTTCTTAGGGGAACTATACTAGTCAATGTGCACCTTTTTTAACAGAGCTATACTCATTTCACCTTAAGTATATGGTTTTGGTAAAAATGGATTATTTGTGAGATATTGATCTTCAGCATTTGCCACCACAGGTCATAATACTGCTGATTTTACCTGGCTCAATGGGATCATCTGGTGCAAATAATGCAAAAAACCTTTTACGTGCAGCGGTTCTGGTGCAGTATGTACCTAGACTGTGGCGGTTTCTTCCTGTTTTAAGAGGCCAGTCTCCAAGTGGCTTCATATTCGAGTCAGCATGGGCTAATTTCGTGTTAAATTTTCTAACATTTATGTTGTCAAGCCATGTGGTGGGATCATGTTGGTATCTTTTGGGCTTACAGGTAGGGAACTAATTTAGATGTTTTAGATTTTCATGACATAATTGTGCCGAGGTTTATGTTTGCTACTTGGATAACCCTACAGTTGCAATTTATATGCAATTTGTAAGATGGTATGTTGTCCTGATTTTTATGGTAATCTTTTAAACTGTCTCGAAAGAAACAGATCATAGAAAGAACGTCTTCACACTTCACAAATTATTAGTAAATACTATTATTTTTGTTATCTCTGACATGAATAACAAGGACAAAAGTTTTCTAGCCTGTGAAAGCATACAAGGCTAATTTATTATACAGAAAAATTATCTTATAATCACATGTGGTGCAAACCATGTAATAAGAAGTTAGTTTTAAGATAAGAAATTTAGAATATATCTTCAAAGTATAGGACTTGGCTCTGCCCTTACTTTTCTTGTTCCTCCTCCAGAGAGTGAATCAATGTCTTCGTGAAGCCTGTCATAACTCTCAAATTGTAAGGTGCAAGGAATTCATTGACTGTGGGCATGGTAGTGATTACAGTGATTTCTCATCAGATTCATTGTGGAATCAATGGAAGAATGATGGGAATGCAAGTGCTTGTTTTCGTACTGATGGTTTTGACTATGGAATATATGCCCAAGTCGTCCATCTCGCAACAAAGCATAGCTTAGTTAAGAGATATATGTACTCACTGTTCTGGGGCTTTCAGGTAGTCATAGTCAGGTAGTTCTGTTGTTATTTTTCTTGATCTGTGAATATCTCATAATGTTTATTGAATAAGTGAAGTTCTCCTAGCCCCTTATTAAAATATTATAACCCTCTGAGGTTGGTCAATTGGCTTGATCCCTAGAATTGAACAATGTGTGATGGCCACCTGAGTCCGATTCCCCAATAGGGACACTGGAGGATTTGACTGGCTGTTAACTTTAGGGCCTGCGGGGTCTTGGACACCGTGTTATAAAACAATGACTATTGTCTATGAAATCATTTTTTTATTGATTCATCAGCTTTGTACTTACCTGGAAAGAAATAACATGGTTTTTGTACTTAACATGTGAGAACAACTGTATTAGGAAAGTTCCAGGTGAAAGTTTTGCATTTAAGCCTCTACTCTGTCGGTCTGTCCGTTAACCTGGACGAATACTTGAAGCTTATTTCCAGGCACATTTCCATTGCAAAAGTAGAAAAGTTACTCGAAATGTATTTATACCATCAAATAGCTGAGTATGTTTTTCTCAATGAGATATAACTGCAGGAGAAGGTTTTGGAAAATGTGGGGAGGAAACTGTTGTAAAAGCACCTCAATTTTTCTATTTAAACATACTTTAGAAGTTAGAACCCTAAGTTTCATCTGAGGGGTTAAACTTAAGTCTCTAGTTGGCATTGGAAATATTTGGCTGATGCTATCATTTCTTTTGCTATTTTGATGACCACTGCACTTTTTCCGAATACATGTTGAATATCTACCTGATGTAATTATTTGTTGATGTTCAGCAAATAAGCACACTTGCTGGGAATCTAGTTCCGAGTTATTTTGAGTGGGAAGTTCTTTTCACTATGGCCATTATTGGACTGGGTCTCCTACTATTTGCTCTGCTCATTGGAAATATGCAAAACTTTTTACAGTCTCTTGGAAGCAGGTACTACTAAATTTTCTCTCTTATAAATTTCATCTTGGTGTGGTTTGGATAATAAGAGATCAGAACCAAAGCTTTCCAGTTTTTATATGGATATGTTTTTAGATTACATTATTTCAACAAAGACGCGTCCAAACTGGATAACATTGTGAAAAATTACCGTACTTTTTGTAATGTCACTAGTCAACTTAGAGCCTGTTGGGTAACAATAAAATTGGCTGAATTGTCTGGTTTTGCTGAAATTGATGAAGTTCTGATTGAAGTTTTTGAAATGGCTGAATCTGCTAAATTATGAAAAACTTATATTTAAAATATATTCATTAATAAAATAACAGGTTTTTTAAAAAATATTAAAGTAGCTACACATAATCACTTAAGTGTAAATATTGAATATAAGTTACTTCGTACTATTATAGTCATACACACAAGAGGTCACATTTTTGCAAACAACTTTTATTTTAATCATTAATATGTAATTATTTCATAAAGTAAAGAAAAAAATTATGAAAAATAGCTTAAATGATTGTCAATGCTTGTCAGAAAAGTAACTCCAACCTTGTTTAGGCAATGTTTGTCAATGCTTTATTAAAGCGCTTTTCAGCTTTTCAATTAAAAAAAGCTAAAAAGTGATTGCAAAGACAAATTTCTGCTTAATTTGAAGTGCTTTTAGCTAAAAAGGTGAAAGCAGCCGTACACATACTTTTAGGTTTTAATTGCTTTTAGGTAATTTTGTAAATAAGTTGAAGTTCGAGGATAATCTTATCGCGTGTTTTATTCGAACTTACCCCTTTTTGAATCTTCTCCCCATGCCGTCTTCATTGATCTCCTCAAGCATCACCATCGATCTCCTGAAGTCTCGTGAAGCCGATTCTCTTATTTTATTTTATTTTATTTTATTCTATTCATTTGATTTCATGGGGTTTTAGTTTTTATTCTCTCATTGGTTTCCAAATGGTTATTGCAGTTACTCAGAATGTGCACTACAACATCGATATATATATATATACACACACACATACATACACACACACACACACATATATCTATATATATATTAATATAGAGAAATCATCTCATCAGGCCGGCCTGACGGGCTACCCCGTCTGGCCGAGCCCGTTTGGGCACCTTCCCGGTGGAATTTTTTGATGAAATTTTTTGAGCATGTTCCTCATCAAGTCTAGTTTGTCCATACCAAATTTCAGCTCAAAATTCGATCGGGAAAGTCGTCAAATGATTTTTGCAAGTTAACTGGTCCGGAATATGTATTTTCCGGACCAGTTAACTTGCAAAAATCATTTGACGACCTTCCCGGTGGAATTTTGAGCTGAAATTTGGTATGGACAAACTAGACTTGATGAGGAACATGCTCAAAAAATTTCATCAAAAAATTCCACCGGGAAGGTGCCCAAACGGGCTCGGCCGGACGGGGCAGCCCGTCAGGCCGGCCTGATGAGAAGAGCTCTCTATTAATATATACACACATACATACATACATACATACATACATACATACATACATACATACATACATACATACATACATACATACATACATACATACATACATACATACATACATACATACATACATACATACATACATACATACATACATACATACATACATACATACATACATACATACATACATACATACATACATACATACATACATACATACATACATACATACATACATACATACATACATACATACATACATACATACATACATACATACATACATACATACATACATACATACATACATACATACATACATACATACATACATACATACATACATACATACATACATACATACATACATACATATATATATATATATATATATCGATGTTGTATATAGGGTAAGGTTCAAGTGAGAAGAACCCTTTAGGTGAGAAGTGAGAATGAATCTCAGCCATTGATTCGACTAAGTTGCAGTAAAAGACACTTCTTGATGCACTGAAATATGCAATCTAGCATGGTGGCATTTATGTAAATACTTCTGAAAAAATCCGTATTACACTTGTCTAGCGCAACATGAAGCTATTTCGGTGCAACGCCGTCAAATATTAGTGCAACATGAAACACTTTTAGTGCAACATTGCAAAAATTTAAATATTACTGCAACATAAAGCCATTTTTAGTGCAACTTCGTAAATCTAATGGCTGAGATTCATTCTCATTTCTCACATTGGATGCATTTCTCACTTGAACCAAAATCTATATATATATATATATATATATATATATATATATATGTATATATATATATATATATGGAAGAGTTCAAATAAAAAGACCTCTTCCCGTGCAAAGTGCAAAGATATGCACTTTTGCATGTTTCGCTTGCACTTTTTCGTGTTTCTGTTGCACTTTTTCGCGGTGACGAAAAAGTGCAACATATTTACGAAAGTGCCACCGCGATTTTGGCCGAATTTTGTGCATTTTTTGGCTCATTTTGATCCATTGGATGTGGAAATAAATGCAAAAGATTCATTCTTACTTTGCATGGGAAGAGCTCTTTGTATTTGAACCATCCCCTATATATATATAATTATATATATATATATAGAGAGAGAGAGAGAAATGATCATGTCCAGTAGGATTGACAAGATCCGCCGTCCGAACGCCGCCGTTTAAGGCGTTTCCCGGTGGAATTTTTTGATGATATTTTTTTAGCATGTTCCTCATCAAGTCTAGTTTATCCTCAAAAAATTTCAGCTCAAATTTCAATCTAGAAAGGAGTCAAATAATTTTTTGAAAATTACTGCGTTTTATATGTATAATAATTTGGCGCAGTTATTTTCAACAAATTATTTGACTGTCTTCCCGGTCGAATTTTTAGCTGAACGTTTGTGTGGATAAACTAGACTTGATGAAGAACACATGCTCAAAAAATTTCATCAAAAAATTCCACCGGGAACTGCCCCAAACGGCGGCGTTGAGATGGCAGATCCTGACCATCCTGCTGGACAGGATCATTCCTATATATATATAGTGTATATATTTGGAAAGTGATGTTAAATATAATAATGATTACTTGATGAATGGTATGAGATCTTGGAGATACTCTTTGCATTGAAGTAGCAGTAAGTTACTTTGGTAAAGGAGGTAGACATGGCCGCGAATAACTCTTGAATTTGATCTTTGTTAATTGGAATCTACGTTGATTTTACGAAGTACGGAGTATATAACATGACCTTCTGTCTGTTTTTAGCTTGATAAGGGCCTTTTTGTATTTTCACAAAAATATTACATCACAATCACTTTTTTATCAAACACTTAGAACGTGTATCTATTATATCACAATCACTTTTTTACCAAACACTTGAACTTTTATTTATTACCAACCACTATTATACCAAATCACTTCTATTCCCGGCCCTAAGTGGTGATGGTAAATTGATGATTCCCGGCCCTAAGAAAATAAGGGAGAGGCGTGCTCAACGCATTACTCTACCAAGGGAGAGTACTTCTTTATCTTCATAGCTTGCACTCTTAATTTTTTCGTCCCCCAACCACAGCCGTAACATCCTCGGGCTTTGCTTCACAAAATATGCAATCACTCTGTATTATGTATCATGTAGTAGTGTAGATAAGATCGTATGGCTTCATTGTAGATAGACTTGTCCTTCATGCCTTCCCATTTATGATTCTTTGGACTTCTTGTTTGGAGATTAATATGGTATATTCTATGTAGGCAGTTGGAAATGTCACTGAGGCGCCGTGATGTTGAGAAGTGGATGAGCCATCGTCGCCTGCCGGAAGATTTAAGAAGGTACCTTCTAAAGTTTTCGGTGAAGCGGATCAAATGGTGTGCTTTGACTGAAAATGAATAGAATCTTCATCTTATCCTCCTTGTAGGCGGGTACGACAAGCTGAACGCTATACTTGGGCAGCTACCCGAGGGGTGAATGAAGAAATGCTGTTGGAGAACCTCCCTGAAGATGTACAGAGAGATATACGGAGGCATCTCTGTAAATTTATCAAGAAGGTGAGCTTTGAGCTAATAGGCATTGGGGCATTGCTCATCTATCTCTTCAGCATAACCTGAATCCTTGCTCCCATATAAATGTGGATATGTCATTGTGATTCTCACCATCAAACTACTTTTTTCACGTCATTTAAGTCGTCCCTTGTGAAGGGGTAGCAGGCCTTAGCGGGGCCAGTCACATCCGGGGCCTCTCTAATTAGATGAGAAGTTAGCCGTAAAAAATGTTAGATGAACACATATATGAAATATTAGATTGGTTTTTGCTCAATGCATTTCAATATTTCATTCATTGGAAATCCTAGTCCGGCCAGCCTGGTGTCAAGTACATGCTCTGCCTCTAATTGAAGCCTTCTTGTTATTATACTAAAGTAAATTTTTAATTCAAATCCTGCTGGTCGAAACAATTCTAACTACTAATGTCTCTGTCCCTGAATTAAGAAAGTGTATATTATGTTGTGGAGAGTTGTGTAGAGGAGAGAGAAATAGGTAAAAATGCATAAAAAATGTCGTGAAACACAAATTGTTTGCTTATAAAGGAAAAAGAAAATTATTTTGGGACAAACGAAAAAGGAAAGTTGGAAGATATATCTAGTGGCGGTTCATCTGGCGGATGTCGTATCTTGTTTTGTTTGGTGGGAATTGCATGAATAAGTGGTATGATGCATAAGTTACTACAAATCCTACTAATATGCAACGGTTTCTTTAACGTGGATATGTTGTTTCCTTGCAGGTCCGCATTCTTTCGCTTCTAGAAGAACCAGTTTTGGATGCCATACGTGAAAGATTAAGGCAAGCAACATATATAGAAGGAAGCGTTGTTTTGTACAACGGTGGCCTTATTGACAAGATGGTTTTTATCATCCGGGGAAAAATGGAGAGCACGGGAGAAGATGGAAATGTGGCCCCATTGGGCGAAGGGGTTGCTTGTGGGGAAGAACTCCTTACATGGTGCCTAGAGCATTCTTCTATATATAAAGGTAATACTCCTAATATAAAGGTAATACTCTATATTGTGAATCTTTTGAGAATACGGTTTGGATGTTGTTGTTGTACTCTATAAAGGTAATACCGTAATACCCTTGCTGATTGGCGATTGGGACCATACTAATGGTTATGCATCTTTTTTGAAAAGATATACGTAGTGTGAATTTGACAATTAACTTCGTTTTGTTTTTAAATTCAAGACGGAATAAAGATGAGGTTTCCAGGACACAGGCTTATAAGTAACAGGGTCGTGAGGTGCCTAACTAATGTTGAAGCATTTATATTGCGGGAAGCAGACCTTCACGAAGTCATTTCTCTCTATGCAAGATTTTTGAGGAACCCACGCGTTCAGAGTGCCATAAGGTCTTTTCATAAATATACAGAGAATATGAGCTGAGTTTCTTGTTTTCCATGGTGATGGTCATATTTACTTGATGATTTGCTGACACCTTACATTGCAGGTCTGAATCTCCCTATTGGCGTGCCCTTGCTGCTAGGTGCATCCAAGTCGCGTGGAGGTACAGGAAGAAGCGTCTAAGTCGAGCAGATGTCTATAGTCCAGAACACAGTTTAGGGATGTAATATTAGAACAGCATTCTGATCCTAGCTTATGGATATGTATGTATTCAAATTAAATAGGAGCAATGCTTATTGCATGACTGTACCCGAATTCAACTGCAAAATAATGACAAAAAAATAGTAACAAGAGGCCAGTAGTTTAAAGGTGTATTGCAGTATCGGTACATTAAAAGGACTACCATTGCATGAAGAAATGGACATAGTTCGAGCCTATTTGTTTCACAGGTATATTTCATTCATTATAAGAATGAAGAAGTACGTAGTCTAATTTTTTAACAGTTTACAACGTTTATAGTGTGAGTTAGCTTCATCCATGATAGAAGGAATTGTCTGTCTCACATACTTGGATTTCATCAAGAGGAAGAGCAAGAATTGACATCTTTCTTTCAAGTTTCAACCATGCAAGAACTGTCACAAACATCAAGTTTCCGGGTAATTAGATTAAGAGCCCGTTTGATCACTTTGATGACCTTTGTTTTCGACTTATTAGTCTTATCGGTCAACTTCTTCATCAAACATGTATTTTTTGATTTTTTGTATTGAATTGTGTAATACGGAGGTAATGTGGAGGGTCATTTGGCTACTTTTCATATAACTTTTCTTTATTTTATTAATATAATGCATTTTGAATATAGTTTTTCCATAAGTCAATAAATTCAGTCAATATTGGGAATTTGGGATCCCCATTGGTGACATTTTATCAAGCACCAACTTTTTTATTTTGTGGATTGAATTGGCTAATAGTGAAATGGTAATATTGGATGTATAATGGCTAGAAAGGTTTATTTTAGATTGTTTGTATTCTTTATTTTTACTAATAAAGCAATGTTGAAATCATTCGATCGGTACCATGTCGTTTTAAAACGGTACAAAACGGTATGGTAAAATGTCAAACTAATGTCAAAATGTCAAACTTTGCAATTATTGAGGAAACGGTCCAGCTCAGCTTGTCGCCGACTCACTCTCCCTTATGAGAAGTCTCGGGTTTGAAACTCAATGGAGTGAGTTTCAACCCAGTTTACTCCAGGACCCCCAAACACCCTCTGGAGTAAAAAAAATCATCCCGGTAAGTTCACATGAACTGTTGACAAAAAAAAAAATTGACAACAATAATCTCACATTTGATTAGTTTTCTCATAGTAATCTCACATTTACGTAATCACAAAACAATCTCACTTTTGCATAAATAATCTCATCTTTCACAAATCTGTTCGAAATAGTACCATGTTTCATTTTTTCCTTTTTCATCCTAATTTTTTTCTTTCTTTAGTTCTATCCCTATACACTTAATTATTCTTTTTCCCATCCTTTTGTTTTTTTGCTTTTTCATATTTTTTGGCCAATTCTTTCTGACCTATATAGTATCTGCTCAATGTTAATGCCAATTAAAACATCCTTGAACTGGGATGGAATTCGAACCTATGATTTCCTCCTTGGGAGTGCCACAATGATGTATCAGACCACAAGGTATTTGGCTTCTTTTTCATACGGAGTATTTATTATTCTATATATATTTCTCGCTCTATTTCTTCCCGTATTTTTATTTCATTTTCCTTTTTATGTGTTTATCTTCTTAATCATTTTCTTTTTTATTAAAAACCTTTTTCTCACTTTACTTTATGATATATTTTCTTTTTAGTTTAATCCCGTAGATCCGAAAGCCCAACACACACTTTGGATATTAAGGACGTAGGTTTTGGTTAAAGGTGTATAAAATATAAAAGACTGAATCCAGTAAACTCAGAAAGCCAATCTCGTATTGAGTAATTCACTGATTACACTTGAACTGCCCGATCGGCACGTCGGAACAGTAGCTAATACAAGAAATGGAATGACAATTCTCTCTAAGGCTCTAAGTATCAAAATGCTAACCCTTACAATGTAGTTAATGCATCTATTTATAATAGAGAGCGGGTAGGTGGGATGATGACATGGCCGAACCCGGTTGGTTGGTGTCTTCGCCACTTGAGCACTCATGCCTCCACTTGCTAGCATCATACTCTAGCATTTAATGCAGCTTTGCCACTTGCGGACTTCCCGTTCGGGTACTGGACCCTACAGGCCGATGGGCGAGTGTTGTGCTTAGCTATTTGTTCCAAGGCGGATATTTGCACCGTTCGAGATGTGCCGATCAGTGTGTCCCTTGATGGACCAATCCCCGTTCGGGATATCATAATCATGTCTTGAGCTCCTTCTAGGCTTGCTCCTTTCCTTGGGCCCTTGGCTGTTCTGGGTCGGGTATTGGGCTTCGGCCCAATATCCCAACAATTTTCATTTTCCCCTTTTTTCTTCTTGTTATTTTCTATTTGTGTTTCTTCTTTCTGCTTTTCTTTTTTCTTGTTACTTTAATTCCACCATCAATATATGTTTTCTTCTTTCTACATCACCGTATTTTTCTAAGTAAGTTCACTCATAAATTTCATCAACTATGAGAAAAAAAATCTTTGTGATAAGAGAATTAGGGAAAAATAAAATTTAAAGCAAAATAAAACAATTGGGGAAATGTAAGCAATGAAAATTACATATTGGCGTACATGTCAAAAACAAGCAAAAAAAGATAGATGTGGTGAAAAGGGACAAAGAAAAAAACAAATACTTTTTTGGACAGTGAGAAGGGGAGAAAGAAGAAAAGGAGAATTTAAAGAAAAGAAAAATTGAAATAAAAATGAATAAAATAAGAACGAATAATGTGGGATAATAGTCCTTTTTTATTACAAAAGTGGAAATTTTATTGAATTAAGAGAAGAAATTACAATGCAAGGAAAGACAAAATACATAAAGGCAAAAAAGAAAAAAAGAAAAAAGCAAAAAAGCAAAAATGGAACATAAGAAGATCTAGGCCCATGGGAATTTCTTAGATTGTGATATGGTTTGCATGCTATAGATGTCGTTGTTTGTTTTTCTGGGATTTACAGTGAACTTTTAGTTGCGTATTCAGATTGTCTATTGGCAAGCTAGTGTCATGAGTGATAAACGGAGACTTAAAGCAAATTGACCTGTTGAAGTTGGAGTTCTGTAAGTTGTCTTGACTAGAAATTGGTGTTCGATGCTCGCTTTCAGTTGCATGCCCCAGAAAGTCGTCTGAGAAATATGAGTCATCTGATGGGTCAAAGCTGTCAGATGCAGTGATAACTTGGGATGTTTCTCCGAAGATTGAGATTGTTGCTTCTCCATTGGGATACTATTCTTTAAAAGATAATTAATTGAATAGTAATACATAAAAAGGAAAGAAATAAAATTGGGGAAGAAGAAATAAGAAAAATACTGAGAAAAAGGAAACAAAAACATAAACTGGTTAAATAAATGAAATAATAAGAAGATGAAAAATGAAACGTGGTACTATTTTGAACATATTTGTGAAAGGTCAAATTTTATATAAGGTTTTCAAAGAAAATGCAAAAAACCTGATATATTATGTCATCAGCCGATCAAGGTCCGATGAAAGAAGACAAGGTGCATTCTGGGATTATGTAAATGTGAAATTATTATGAGAAGACCAGTCAAATGTAAGAGTGTTGTCAATTTTCAAAAAATAAAAGAAAGAGCATACGAAATGCCAAGAAAGATTTAAGAGGTTCACAATTTAATCATTTAAGTGTTCAAATACTCAAATAGTGGAGCACAACTCAAGAAAAGTATAGCAAAATGTTGACATATCAAATAGACATCAACTTCATTAAATTAAAGTGAAAATATAAAAAGAATATGAAAAATTGACAAAAATAATCTCTACTGTTTGTAATCTGCTAGAAATAATCCAAAGTATCAATTTCCCAAAAAATCCAACTATATATTGAAGAACTTTCTCAAAATACTCCAATGACTTATAATAACTCCTAAATGAAATAATATTTTGAGTCATTGGAGCATTTTGAGAATATTTTTCAATAGTCGGGATTATTTTGATATAATCAATACTTTAAATTGTTTTAAGCAAATCAATAATAGTTGGGATTATTCCTGACCATTTTTTCAAAAGAATTTCAAATTGTTGAATATAATAAGAGAACTCGTCATTCTTCTTTGCTCTACGTTGATCATTAGTTCTACACCACAAGAGGTAAGATTTAAACCAAGTTAATAAAGTTTTAAAATTGCACAAATATGATACCCCAAATAGTCATGTGCACACTTTATAGTCATTACTTATCTTTTAAAAAGTAGCATTCTTTCAATCTATTACAAAACATAACATAAATTATCTAAAAGGAATGGATAACATAATTTATATAAACATACACATTTAGATATTTGAAGGAAGAATGAATGCATATTTGAACTATAAAATTGTTGGTGAACAAGAGATGTAGTGGGATGAAATATACTAAGTAGTACATTCGTTCGTAAAAGATGCAACATTTTGAATTTTATATCATTAATATACTTACTTTGACTCCTTATTTATCCATATTTTAGAAATTTAACCAAACCGACCAAACGGACCAAACCAAAACAGGTTACAAAGTGACAACAAGTCTCCTGTCTACCGTCCGCCCAAGGACCAGACTCTGAATTAATCACCTCCGTAGAAACCATATAAGTCGCTGACACGACTCATCATCTCCTATTTTAGTTTCACAAGTTTGTTTGCTGGAAAAACACAGCACAACCAAAACAAAAGCAACATCTAGAACGTGGGAAATAAATATAGCAAGACAAAAAGAGTAAATAAGTTTCTCAGTTAAAAAAGCCGAAATCAGCATCAGATCATCTAGTGGAGCTGGACTGTCCACCTCCTCCCCGCATTCTAGCTTGATCGGGCAAGCCTGTTGTCCAGGGCTCGCCCCAACCTCGTTTTTTCTGCCACAGGTTTCAATCTCCATCAATATGCATGCAGATGACGATTCCAACTCCACCCGACGGTGTTTTTGTTCAGCAACCTTTACTCCTTCATCCGGGCTCTCTGGATTCTTCATCTCACCTGCAAAAACAAAAGAACTAGAACCCAACTCCAAAATCTCCATGGCCTGAGTAGATATCTCCATTCCCACGGCAGTGCCAAACCCCTGCTTAATTTGCTTTTTCACTAACAAGCCACTTGCTACCTTTCCTTCTACTGGTACGCCCACTACTAGCTCTCATCCACGACCCGAATTCTCTTATATGTTCTGAATTTGGGGACAGAATTTATCTCCATGACCAATACAGCCACAAGCAAAACAGAAGTTTGGAAGTTTTTCATATCTCAGATCTACCCATAGACAATCCCTATTCATTTTTTGAACCTTAAAATTTTCTTGAGTGGTTTCCTTATATCAAGACGGACCCGGATCCTCAAATAGGCCCTCCAATGCCCTCAAATTGATTTTCATCAAGTTTAATGAAACATCCAAGATAATTACAAATGATTCTAGCAACCCTTAGAGTCAAGTGACCTATAGGCAAGTAATGCACTTGGACCCAAAAATCCGAAAAAAATAGAGGAACTTTCAAAGGCACTTCATCAAGCTTGAGCTCACGCAACACCACAAGATTCTGATCATACAATCATGGACCATATTCTATAACACGCTTTATATCAATTTCATGATAAAAAGAGAAGATATACCTCTTATCGCCTATTTCTTTGATTGATACACCTCTGCCCGGTCTCCAAATAGAAGCCATTGTGTCCCTAAACGCCAGAAAATTGACTCTCTTCTCTGTAAAAATAGTACCAACTAGAGACCACTCGGATAGTCCCCCTTCCATGTCTTCCCTCCCGCTCTCATCTGGCAGCAATATATCCACTAGTTTGTCATCTTCCGTTTCCAATTGCAGATGACCATGACGATCAACTAACTCCTCATGTTTTCCCATTCTGCCTGTTGTTGAATACACTAGCAACACACAATCAGAAAAAACAAGAACTAGGAACCAAAACCTAAGCAAATTCGCTTTGTGTCGATCATTGGGAGAACCACGATGCAAACCCTTCTGCTGTCGGAGAAGCAAACGACGAGAATAGAACAGATCGAAACCCAAAGCAATCGACTAAATCGAACTCAATAAAATCGATTACCCCTGAACGTTAAAAAAATAACAGCCAGCAGATCAAAACAAAGAAATGGCAAAGGAACAGATCGAAACCAAAACCAATTACACAACCGGTGAATCCGCACATACGGCAGCGCTTGAAACCCTACATCGCTAGAATCAACAGTAACTTAACTGGAATGTAATAGGGTTGAGTACCGCTTACTTCGGTTTTTAATGGCCTGTTTTTTTGGAGGTTAACCTAGGTTATTGTAGGTTCAATTTTTAAGTAACCTCGTTTGTTTGTATTTTTGCAACAAGAACCTAGGTTATGGGTTAACCTCACTTAACTCTTGAGAACCTAGAAAAACCTTATATTGAAGAACCTCCGAAACAGGGGGTTTTGGAGGTTAAATTCTCGGTTAACATAAAATGAGTTAGAGTACATTCATCCAAACAACATTTTTCCATTAACCTAGGTTCACTTTATTTATTTCCATACACTATTTTACGCATGAACCTAGGTTCACTTAGGTTAACCTAATTTTTATTAAAACTTAAGTTTACTTTATTGCACTAAGTTTACTTAACTTCACTCTATCCAAATGTATAAAAACCGGGGTAATTCTTTTTGTTTACAAATCACACATCCCGTTTACACAAGCAATTACCAAATTGGTTAGATGTGTACTTTTTCCCTGTTTTGGATAGAAATGTAATTTTCCTGAAAAGAAAACGGTTAGGATTTATACCGACCACTCACAAAAACAAAAGGGACACTGGGAAACTGTGTCTCTGCTCGGTGGTAGATTGGTAGTTCATATTTAATTATGGAGAACTTTCTCCCTAACAAATTTTGTCCATTTGCGGGTTGGCCGCCCAGCCGGCCAGCTCTGACGGAGTCAACCAATTTCATGCCTCAAGTCTTTGCTCTGCATATTCAGCGGCCAGTCATGGTCCAGACGTCATGTCTTCTTTTTTGCTCATTCAACTCTCAGGTTTTAAGGCTTCTGAACCACTGCTATCTATACCTTCCTTCCTATCTGTTGCAGCGAATTGACTCTTCTATTTATAGTCTTTTATTTTCCTTCCAAATGCTCTACTGAATCTTTCGCTCATAATTCTACTGCAAACTTCTTTTGAAAAACAATGTCATCAGTTCAAATTCAAATTTGTGTATGTATTGTTTGAGAATTGGAATTTGAGGAGTGATCGAGCACATACACTTGCCAGTTGCTCATACTATTTGTACGTTTGTTTAGGTAAAATTTGAAATTTATTAGTGTTTACTGTTTAGTCTCTTCTTGAGGTCACCGAGAATAATCATTGGGAGCTCCAGAGAAGTGGTGGAGACTGGGAGGGATTGGAGGGGCATTCATGTCCGATGTATATATATATGTGTGTGCGCGCGCGCGCATAAATATTTATAATCTAAAAAGATATGTTGAAATTTTGAGTTTTAGCCCCAATATAAAATTTTGCGGCCTCTGCCCCCTAGCAACACAAGACTGGCTCTCCCACTGCCGCAGAGGGCAGAGGTTCTGAGAAGCAATGTCAACAGCATTTTATGGACCCTGTTTTTGTTTACAGTGGTAGTTTTGGGGTAAATAAATGAATCTTTTGGGTTTTCCCTTTAATGATTGAAAACGGGAAGTATTACAATTTACAAGACCATGAGAAAACATTACAGGAGTGAGCATTGAATGTTTTTTTTACTTGGTTTTGGGGTTGTTTTTATACCTGAACTTTTCACAATGTAATTTGTTATGCAACATGGAACTGGGGCTCCATTAAGATGAAAGCCTTACACAAAGAGAGTCACTGAAGTAATCTAAAATATATATGTTTAATGTACTTTTCGCCTTATCTGTTCTCTTGGTGCATATTCAGAAAATATGATATTTTAGTCAAAACATGTTCTGCTATGATATGAACTGGACACCATATTGCAGTACTATAATGATGCTTCTATGTTCCATTTACTTCAGCAAATTGTAAATTCCATTTCCTTCTAAAATTCTTTACAGCTCAACTACTTTAGAAATGGATGCTTCTCAAAATGATGTCACACCAATGTTGTCAGCCACATATCAAAGTGATGAAATTGATGATGCCTCTCGGTATGAGAGGTTTTCATACAGGGCAAGGAGTGCATCATTATCCATCCCTGTAAACTTCATGGAGTCATATCAGACTGATAATGCTTTTGTTGGGTATACTGGTCCCTTGACAAGTGAAAGGCGGACTTCTGCCATACAGATGAGTGGTCCATTGCATCTTGCCCGCAAGCCCGAAAACAGCAAAACTAGGCCATCTCAAGTAGCACCAGGACTCAAATCACGGATGGAAATGGAAAAATATCCTTCTTTTTCTGAAAGGGAATCAAACGACTGGACAGATAATGATTATTCACCGAAAAATCAACATCTGTTGAGATCAGGGAAACTTGGAATGTGCAATGATCCATATTGCACAACATGCCCAACTATTGACAACTTAAAGGCGCAGAATAAAAAGTCAAAATCACCAGAGACATCTGATCACAAGGTTTGCGGCTATGAGTGGAAGGGTTTCCTTTTAGTATCATTATTAGGAGTATAGTCAACAGTCTCATCAAGTGCTGCTCAGCATGTCCCCCTTTACTATTATCCTTCAACTGGACCTGTGTTAATCATAGTACCAAGTTACCTAAGTGCCTAATCGTTGCATTCAATGTCAATGTGCAGTCCCATAATATGGTATACGGAGATGCAAGAGGTTGTGCGAAGAAAATTTCTTCTTTTATGTGTTCATGCATTCCAGGTGTCATGAATCCACATACTACGGCGGTGCAGCGGTGGAACAAATTCTTTGCTGTCTCTTGCTTATTTGCTATTTTCATAGATCCACTCTTCTTCTTTTTGCTATCTGTGAAGCAGGTAATAAATACATTGTGTTTCAGATGTTTTAATCTGTCTCCTTTGATCAATCAAAATTCAACACTAGTATTGATTTTGTTACCTTTCCGTTCGTTTATTATATACTCTCATGCTTTATGATATCTACTCTATTCTGCTTAACTTTCTTTCATAATTTCCTAATGGTTCATCAATTGAGCTTCTTTTTGGGAATTGGCTTTCTCACCTCTTGATTCTAGGAGCAAAAATGCATAATATTTAACTGGCGTCTAATGAACGCGATTGTGGTTTTGAGGAGCTTGACTGATTTCATATACTTGATTCACATGCTTCTTCAGGTGAACTCTCCTAATTCAAGATGTATTTGTCAAACATTTTGCTATTGTAGACTTGTAGTGCTGCCTACCTGCTTCTTTAACTAAACAAAAAGAAGCAGACATTTACCTGCTTATATCTCTGTTTATAGCAGCTGATGTTGCATGTTTATGGTTATTATATTTCTCGCTGGAATTTGTTTAATTGATTTTAGGGGTTTCATGGAGATCTTAAAACATTCCATCTAACAGTTCAGGATTCTTGTGCAGAAAGTGCTTGGCTAACGAATGAAAATATTAAAATAGTAAAGTAGAAAGAAGAATGTTATTGAGTAGAGAAGGTCAGATGGAATGTCTCTAATTCTGAATACATTGCCCCTATAATCTCAGTACAAGGGCATTTCGTCCAAGTAAAGATGAGGTAAGGAGAATATGGGATATAATATAGGGCTGGCCCGGAGCAAGTGTGGAGAGCCCAGCCGCACAGGGCCCTCGAAAACGGAATGTCCAGAAAATATTATGTGTCATGTTTTGGTTTGCCACAACTATTCATAAAGTTGCTGAAAATGTAAAAGTTGTGGTTGAGCTTTGAATATGATAAAGTGAAATGTTGTGGACCACATAGTTTCCAAAAAAGGAAATGTGACACGTATGTTAGGGCAACCCATACAGGAAAGTAAGATAGGTAAAATGAGACGGAAGGCGTAATATTAATATAATTGGAGCACATCTGCCTAATGGTCACATACTCAATTGTAGTTAATGAATTCACGTACTCCACTCAGTGCATACTCAGTAAATTATTTAGTCGTATATTGTGGTTATTATTTTATTATCTTTTAGGTTTGGATAATTTATAAGTGAACTTAACAATTTATCTATTGTTTTATATAGTAAAACTGAGGTGTGAAAGGCTAATGTCTCACTCTCTTATCGACTTTCTAACAATAACTATTAACATTAATTTACAATCATTAGTATATTCCTTAAATGATACAAATGCTTATGCAATATAACAATGATTTGTACCTTTACACTACATTATTTAATTAAATTAATACATCTGACATCTCCATAACATGCTTATTGGTTGCACTATGCATAAAATCGTATTGTAAACTATGTTTCAAATTAATTACCTGAGTTATATGCATTAATACATTGTGTTTACATTGAGTGCATAGGTTATGAAAATATGATACAAAAAAATCATAAATTTTCAAAATTAATTTTTTCTTACATTACAGCTTTATTAGTCTTTAATTATACACAACTCCAAGAAATAAAGTAATATACTTCTACTGTCTCAAATTAATTTATGAAATTAGTTTACGAGGTTAACTAAGAATAAAATTAATCCTTTCCTAACAACTTTTAAGTTAGTGGTAGTAATAAAAACTTAATCCCTCCGACAGTCCGTCCCAGTCAACATTGCAGACTTCAATTTGATTGTGGAATAAGAAAAGAAAAAACGGTTGAGAATTGTGCAGAGGAGAGAGAAATAAGGAACCACAAACTCATTACCTTAAAAGAAAGGTGGCAAAGTCTTTGGGACAAAAAAATAGAAAGTTGGTAAAGTCCAATGGGACGGAGGGAGTATATGTCTACAAACCAGTCTAAAATGTTCATTGAATAGCAAACACTGTACCAAATTCAAAAATGATGTATAAATCGATACTCAAAGTTAGATAAGAAACGGTATTGTGTCGACCAAGAAAATTAAAATTGAATAGCCATTCTAGGACAGGTAAAGCAATAAAATAAGAACATCAAACCTACTTAGTCCAATATAACAATATTCTAAGTTCAAGTCCAAGCAAATTAATAAAATAAAACATATCAAATCTTGTAGTTTTCCTAAACAAAGGAAGTAGCATATACAATCTACCTTAACATTGCCAAAAGATAGTACCAACCCAATATAATTAAATTAAATCTCCTGCCATAAGTTTACGACTCCAATAGTAGACTTCATCATTATAAAATGCAGAACTAAATATAGAAAAAAAGTTGTTATGAATAGAATTTTATTTTGTGCTAAAACTTACTCCGTATATCTGATATGAAGCAGGAAGCGCATGGGGCGGGACCGGGCTTGGGCCCACTTCCGTGGGCCGGTTATGGGTTGGGTTATCTGTGGGCTGAGTTTTTTATTTAATTAGCTTCAATTATGTTAGTTCTTTTATTATTGCTATTTTTTACTCCATATTAGAAAATATCCTTAGGTTTTGTACGTAAGTAATTTCCCTCCCATTAAACTTTGTCCGCAGGTCTAATTCCCATGGGATAGGCTACGTACAATTAAATAGCTTATTTGGTTTCCTTCTGGAACTTGGATATTGTAGTATTATTTATACCCACGTAGGGCTATTCAATCGAGCATCAATAAAAATTCAGATTTGGTTAAGCTAAATTAGCTTGGGCAACTGATCCTTCCGTTGATTATTCTGGGCAACAGTTTACTGTTTACCCCGTTGATTGTTATTTTTTGTTCTTATCAATTGGTCCAACCTGCCGGATCCCGTCCCGCCAAGATGACGAGATCTCAGAATGATCGATTAACAGAGCTAGAGAACGTACAAACTCGTACAAGAGAGGAGGTGGCCCGGTTGGGGGTTGAGCTGGCAGATCACAGTGCCAAGCTGACGGAAATCGCCGCCTCGCTGGCCGTGTTGACCCAGGCACTGGTGCCACCCGTTTCGCCGGATTCCACCGCGGCTGGGGTCGGACGAATCACGGTAACAGCGCCGCAGGTCGAAGGAGTGCTGCGCAACCCAACTCCAACGTTACTACCGGCATTCGATGGGGGAGACCCGATCGGGTGGATAGCTCGGGTGGAGCAGCAGTTCGAATTACACGAAACCTTATCGGAAAGAAGGTGGCTGCCGTTGTGGTAGCCATGGAAGGTGGAGCACTCTACTGGGTAACCTGACTGAGATCACGCAAACCCGAGACTGCAACCAACTTAGAGAGTTCATTCTAAAGAATTTCAAACAAGCCCTGGTGGCCAGATCTGATTCCCGATATCAAGGGAACAGATTTGAACGACTGTCCGGGGTCAAACAAACTGGGTCTATGGAGGAATATAATATCTTGTTTGTTCAGCTAGCGAGCCAAGTTCCGGGATTAACTGACGACCATTACTTGGACTATTACATGAGTGGGCTTAAGGAAACAATCTGAAGCTCGCTGCGATTACTTTGGCCAAACAACCTGGAGATGGCTATGGAATTAGCTCGCGATGTGGAGCATAATTTGTTCGTCCAAAGTGGAGAAAGTGGCAGCCTGAATTATCATTCTTCAGGGTTACGTTCTAGCAGCCTTTTAATGGCAAATACAGGTTCCCCGTTGACTGCCATTGGTGGCAGCTTACAGGGTTCGGAGGGCGGCTTTGCGAAAGACAGTGGACAGCCTCCGGGGACGAAGTCAGGGCTGTCCGGGCAGCCTACGACACGCTCTCAGTTCACTCGACTTCCGCCGAAAGAGTTTGTAGAATTGTGGGCGAAAGGATTATGCTTTAGGTGCAAGAAACCATTTACGTCGGGGCATGATTGTCCCTTTAAACAGTTTCTGAGGAGGATGAAGAGTTGGACCTCAAGCAGCATGAATTCTGTGAAATAACCGGCTAGGAAAGGAAATTTCAGTTCCCGATCCGCGAGTTTTCAACCTTGAGGACAAGGTTAATTTGCAGGAGGATGGATTGATATGAAGCGGGAAGAGCATGGGGCGGGACCGGGCTTGGGCCCACTTCCGTGGGCCGGTTATGGGCTGGGTTATATGTGGGTTGAGTTTTTTTATTTAATTAGCTTCAATTATGTTCGTTCTTTTATTATTGCTATTTTTTACGCCGTATTAGAAAATATCCTTAGGCTTTGTACGTAAGTAATTTCCCTCCCATTAGACTTTGTGCGTAGGTCTAATTCCCATGGGATAGGCTACGTACAATAAAATAGCTTATTTGGTTTCCTTCTGGAACTTGGATATTGTAGTATTGTTTATACCCACGTAGGGCTATTCAATCGAGCATCAATAAAAATTCAGATTTGGTTAAGCTAAATTAGCTTGGGCAATGGATCCTTCCGTTGATTATTCTGGGCAACGTTGGTTAAACCGTTGATTGTTATTTTTTTGTTCTTTTTAATATCTTAACTAATTTGTCACAATAACAAACACTTATATTTCCTTTAAAAATCACTTATGTTTATCATAGAAAATGCTTAAACTGAATTTCAACTTTTCTTAAGCACATGCTCCCTCCCCCCATATTGTAAGATACATTTGAACTAGACGCGGAAAAGTACAAAGTGATTGATTCACAAATTTAACATCCACAAAGTAAGAAAAAGACGTATGAGTTTATAAAATGTAAAAGGTGAAATTATAGATAACAAGATAAATTAAGAAAATAAAAAGTTAGTAAAATTAATTTAGCAAAATACTCATATTTTTTAGACAAACCAAAACGTAAAATGTATCTTACAAAATGGTGTAAAACAAATATGGACAAAAGTGAGAAGAACCCTTTGGGTGAGAAATGAGAATGAATCTCAGCCATTGGATTCGACTAAGTTGCAGTAAAAGACACTTCATGATGCACTGAAATATGCAATCTAGCACGGTGGCATTTCTGTAAATACTTCTGAAAAATCCGTATTGCACGTGTCTAGTGCAACATGAAGCTATTTCGGTGCAACGCCGTCAAATATTAGTGCAACATGAAACCGTTTTAGTGCAACATGTGCAAAATTTAAATATTACTGCAACATAAAGCCAATTTTAGTGCAACTTCGTAAATCCAATGGTTGAAATTCATTCTCATTTCTCACATTAGATGCATTTCTCACCTGAACCAAAATATATATATATATATATATATATATATATATATATATATAGAATATATAGAATAAAGATCAAATGAGAACAATGCTTAACGTGAGAACGTGAGAACACCACATTTACCCCAACGTGTTGCACAATGAAGCTTGTATATTGCACTTTTTTGCATTTTCACAATAATTACCAAAATGCCACCTTGTTTATTTAATATAGGCTTAATTTGAGCAAACTGAAAATGTGCAACATAAAAGCTCCATTGTGCATCACATTTATTTAAATGTGAGTGTTCTCACGTTAAGCATTGTTCTCATTGGAACCGCACCCTATATATATATATATAATATGATGGATAATAATCATTTAACATATGTGAATGTATAATTGCTTGCAGTTAGTTCATAATAGACAATCAACAACAACAACACCCAAGCCTTATTCCCAAAAACTTTTGGGGTGAGCTAACATTAATCAATCCATGTATCAACAACAACATCCAAGCGTTATGCCCAATGCTCTTCTTCATTTTCATTTTCCTCTATAAGAATGATCTTTATTCTGTATAATTGTGCCTTGCATTTGTGCCCGGGGTAGTAGTGCTCATCACAATGAAGGCATAGGTTTTCTTCCTTCTCTCTTTAATATCAGATGGCACTGAAGTTCTTTTACCAAGTATGGACAGGGCTTTATTGGATGGCAACTGGGGTTTTGGAAGTAAACCAGAGGGTTTATATTCAACAAGTGGACTAGACTTATGGCTAGAACCCAGAGGAGTTGGCATACTATTAGGCACTTCTTTTTCCCATAGAGGTTTATTAGCCTTCTTGAGAGCCATTAGACTATTCTTCTGCAGCCAGGCATATTCCTTAGCACACAACATATTTTCTAGGCTTGAAAGCCTTAACAAAATGCTTAGTTGTAGAGTTCTACACTTCTACCCTTCAATAAAGCTATTTAGGAAAAACTCATCAGGCAGCCTGTCATTCATTTGCAACATCAAGCTTTTTCAATGTTCAAAATTATCAAGATACTCATCCAAAGTGTTCAGTTGTGGTAGTTTGTTGAAAACTTCTACAGCACTACTTCCCAATTCATCACCGAATCGGGCACATACATTCACAACAAATTGCCCCCGTATTACCGTTTGTGGATGGAAAGATAGCTGGTAACCCAAGATTCTGCGTGGTTAGTCATATATAGAGAGAGGCTAAATCAATTTTAGGGGTAAACACCAGAGCTCGTGAAGGGTTACCTCCTGAAGTGTGTGGCATAAAGCTATTTGGATGTGACCAGCCCTGTCGAGACTGGTTGGAAGTTATATCTTCTTCCTCACTCTTCTTTTGCATCGAAAGAAGAAGTGCATCCAGTTTCTGGTGCGCTTCGACAAATTTTAGCTCATTTCGTAAGGTTTGTTCCTCTATTTGGTGTTCCAATCCGTTTACTTGTCTTCCATCTTTGCAAATAGGCCTGCTACAGTGATTTTCTTCGCCAGGATGATGATTGATGAACAGAGGAAACTTTCAATTATTAAGGGCGGAATGTTTGGTTCTAGGATACCTCTTCGATACCAATTGTTATAACCTCAGGTGTGAACAAGAAGTTAAATCATCTAATTGCAGGAATTCAAAAGAAAAGAATTGGATTCAAACAAGAAGAAGAAGAAGATTTTATTGCTGATATATGGATTTCAAGAATGAGGGAAAGCAGATTACAATTACCACCTATTCCTTCTCTTATTTCCCACTTATATACACAAAAAGGTTATTAACGGTCATACAACTAATAGTCAACTTTCTAACAGTCTGACATGGCCCCTCTTGCATGGCGATATTGACTTGTCTCATCTTGCTTTCTTTAGCTACCAGCAAGTAGATGACCTTGCTTTTGCTACGCGACAAGTTGAGGATAGTTCCCCTTTATTCTCAACAATTGTTGGTTAAACTGTTAAAGTTGCAACAACTATGGGTTTCCTTAGAGTTCCATACGTAAAGTTAGAGACTTGGAGTACAGAATCTAGTTATAAACATTAGCGATTCTCTTCTTCCAGTTCGACATCCCAAAAATAAACATATAAGGAAATTAAATTCCTCTTGATAGTTATTTATTTGAAAAACATTTTTGAACTTGATTGGTATCCATGTGTTGCTCAGTATTACTAACTATATGTCTACATGTAATGAGTGCATAAGCATTCTGAATTTTCATGCACTAGATACATCCAGTTGACCTCATCATGCTAATTATTACCCAATCACATCTAATGTCCATTATGCAGTTCCGGTTGGCTTTTATTGCTCCTGAATCTACTGTTATGGGAGTAGGTGACTTAGTTGACCACCCCAAGGAAATTGCTCTCCATTATCTCAAAGGACGTTTTTCTCTTGATTTCTTTGATGTATTGCCATTTCCTCAGGTAAAAGTGTAACAGCCCATTCTTTTCCATGCATCTTCTGTTTTGTACCATTTGTTCTCTGTTTCTTAAATATTTGAATCATAATATATGCAAAGGGTGGTTGGCTCAGCTGGTAGCATTGATCCAGCTAGGACTTGTGACCTCGGTCACAGGTTTTAACTCATTTGTTCCAATTGTTCCTCATTGGTAGGATTCTCCTGGAGATCTCCTAGTATTCTCCTACTCCAGGGCTTGTGAGTCTCAGTCTATACCACCTAATGGCTTGGGAGGGGGGGGGGGTATAGACAAGTAACATATCAGGCGTATGTAACCTCTAAGTTGGACTCTGGTGGCAACCGCTGGCATTCCATTAACACCCTATCCTACCACTTCATGTACCAAAAAATACTAAAAATGATGGGCTCTAGATATCACATGACCTTATTGTATATATATACATCTAAATTTTGTCTTTAGAACTACCCTACTTGATTTGTGTCACTTCAGAGTTAGATATTATGTAGAGAAATGACACTAATGTCTCCAAGTTGTACCATCAATATGTCTTTAGTCATCAGATAACTGAGATATCCATTTGTAGTCCTCCCGTTTTCCTTTACCTGAAGTGAATCTTTTAGTCCTACATTGGGGTTCTGAGGGTAACCGGGGACTAAAAGAGCCACTTCGGGAAAACTGGTGGGCTAAAATGGAGAGGTCAGTTATAAGAGGACCAAAAGTGTGTAAGGGTATGACTAAATGGATAAAGATGGCATTTTTTCATCTAGATAATGTCAACTGTGTGTGTTTCAGATTCCATCAAATCCCTACTCGGGAAACACTATTATGTACATTTCTGTGATTGCATTATGGTTGTCCTGGCTCCATCTTAAATGCAAGATTAGAGTATCTTAGTTTAGCTTAATTATACTCCGCACTAATCCACATAAGATTGTTGCTTGTTATTCCTTTTTAACCTTGAATCTCTGACTTATTTCATGGTAAAACTAAGCATCTATCTTTTATTTGCTTCTAATTTTGTGTATTTCACATCTGCAGATCATTGTATTGTTGTTTCTACGAGGATCATCTAGTGCAAATTATGCAAAAAACCTCTTACTGGCAGCAATTTTTGTTCAGTATGTACCTAGATTGTACCGCTTCTTCCATTTACTTGCAGGCCAGTCTCCAAGTGGCTTCATATTTGAGTCGGCATGGGGTAACTTTGTGATAAATCTTCTAACTTTTGTGTTGGCTAGCCATGCGGTGGGGTCATGTTGGTATCTTCTTGGCTTACAGGTAGGAAACAAGTGCAGATATTTGGTTGAATGACTTCTCTGAACTTCAGATCATCTACTTGAGTTACCTTAGATATTTTTGATGAGTTCCTTTTGAAATGATTAGAATTCCTTGTCTTTATGAGGATCTATGACCCTTCTCCAAAGTAACTGGGTGTTGAAAAGACGAATTACTGGTGATATTTGCAATATGAATACACAAACACATAATTTTGGTATTCATTGAAAACATATGATGAGCCCAGAGAAAAATGAAACTGTTATGGTGCACTCGCAGTCATTGACATTCCCGTGTGATGCTTATAATAATTTATTAATTGAAAATTGTACTGTATTTTTAAAATGCATCTTCAGAGCATCAGACTTAGCTCTACACTTGTTTTTTTCCTTCTCCAGAGGGTGAATCGATGTCTCCGTAACTCCTGTCATGGTTCTAAAATAGAGGGTTGCAGGAAATTCATTGACTGCGGGTATAGCAATAATTACACAGATTTCTCATCACTTAAGTTATGGCGAGAGTGGAACAATAGTGCGAATGCAAATGCTTGTTTTAGCAAGGATGGTTTTGATTATGGGATTTATGGTCAAGCGGTGAATCTTACAACAAAGAACAATGTAGTTACGAGATATGTGTACTCCCTGTTCTGGGGCTTCCAGGTATTTATTGATAATTTTACTAATTATCATGTATTTCACTTACATTTTGTATTTTGCTATAAATAATTATCTTTGTCGGTGAAATGAAGTGTTACTTACCACATACTATAGAATTGAATAGTATGTTCATCATCTCTTTATCAGGTTGCCTGTTGTTGTTCAATCTAGAATAGAGGTTGAATGTGTACAAAGTTCATTATAAATTTACTTGTGAGCTGTGAATTCATTTCTTTCTCATATGATATTATATTTTGTTTGGTCAGCAAATAAGTACACTTGCTGGGAATCAGGTTCCAAGTTATTTTGAGTGGGAAGTTCTTTTCACTATGGGCATTATTGCACTGGGTCTCCTACTTTTTGCTCTGCTTATCGGAAACATGCAAAACTTTCTGCAGTCTCTTGGTCGTAGGTATGCCTGTTACTGTTACTGTTACATTTCCATCGGTGGCAAATGTGTGGCAACTCAACTATTAGTGGTTCAACATTGCTCTATATTTATTATATGTAAAAAACACCCCACCTTTCGTAATTAGAACTGTTATATCATCGACTGAGATGCATTGTGGACCTTGGTTCTACCATATATTTTACGCTTTATTTCATAGCAACTCAACCGTTCCTTTTCTAGTCTACAATATTCTTTGTTTTAAACACCATTTTTACAAAATTAAATGAAGCATGGAAAAAATATACAATCAGAATGCTTGCATTGAGATGTTCTAAATGACACATAAGGTGATGTTTTTTTAAAATGTTAGGTTTTTTTTGTAATGTTATGGTGTTGTAGCTGTAATGTAATTGATGAGAATGGAAAATGATAATCAACGGCAGATTCTGTTGCCCAGCAATTTTATTACTACCTCCGTCCCACTAAGATTGGGCCAAGAGAAAGTGGCACAGAGTTATTAAGAAAAGTAGGTTTGTGTGGTTGGTATTAAATTGATAAAGTAAGAATAAAGTAAGAATGATTTAGAGCCACACAAACTTTACCAAATTTGGTATGGGACAATCTTAGTGGGACGTCCCGAAAAGGTAAAATGGGACAATCTTAGTGGGACGGAGGGAGTAACTGATAAGCAAGAATGAACCCTAACAAGGGGTTTAGATACCCATCTACTAATTCCCAAACTAGGAAACGAAATCATAGAAATCCTAATCAATTCCAAATAGGAAATAGAATAATAGAAATCCTGATTAACTCTAAATAGGAAAAAAATAATAGAAATCCTAATTAACTCTAAATAGGAAACAAATAATAGAAATCCTAATTAACTCCAAATAAGAAATAAAATAATAGAAATCCTAATTAACTCCAAATAGGAAACCAATCACGAAAATTATAAAAGAATAAAATTAATTAAATGGCCCGCAGCCAGCCCACGAAGGTGAGCTCAAACCTGTCCCTGCCTGCAGTAGCCCAACAGAGGCCTGGGTCTCGGACCCTCTTCTTCCGCACAGCCCCCTCTGCTCTCTATCAGTAATAAAAAGGGAAAGTTTCACGTTAAGTGTCCATATTGTTTTACATTATGTAAATAGGGAAAGTCTTTCAGATTTTGTAAACTTAGCCCCTTGATTGTTACTCTCTCCATCCCATAATGTACGATACATGTAGATTTGACACGGGTTAAAAATAATAAAGGATAAAATGATGGTTTTACGATTCTAACCTCCAACAAGTAAGAAAAAGTAGGATGTGTACACAAAAATTAAAGGATGAAATGATAGATAAAGGGATACAACAACAACATCCAAGTCTTATTCCCCAAAGATTTTGGGGTCGGCTCACATGAATCCATCCATGATATCGGTAAAAAAGATAAGAAAAATTAAAAAGATAAGGTAAGATAAAAAGGATAAGTTAAAGATAAATATAAAATAAAAGAACATAAGAAAGATAAAAAAAACATAAAAACATAAGAAAGATAAAGAAGATAAAAAGAAAAAGAACGATAGGTAAAGGGATGGAGGGAGTATAATTTAGAACAGTTAGTCCATTGTGAAAGTGTTCATATTTTTGGGTGAAGTTGGAAAATAACAAGTTAGTGGAGTTCAATTTAGGAAAGTGTTCATATTTTTGGGACAACACAAAAATGAAAGTGCATCTTACAAAATGGGACGGAGGGAGTATAATTTAGAACAATTAGTCCATTGTGCTAAATTATGTATGTATTTATGTTATGCACGCGCGCATACATGCATAGAGTGTAGTTCATACTGAGTGTGCTAGCAGCCTAGCAGTTGAATAGATTTGTTCATATGGTGTTATTGTAAATAGACTTATTCTATCAAGTTTCATGTATTAACTTATATGACACTTTGGACTTCTCATTTGTAGAATTATGTCATTTTCTCTAGGCAGTTAGACATGTCACTCAGGAAACGCGATGTTGAGCAGTGGATGAGCCACCGCTGCTTGCCAGTGGAACTCAGAAGGTATATCTTAGGTTTTCATTGAATCTTTCACCATTTGCACCATGGGTTTTTCTTTTTGTTTGTAATTATTAAGTGCATATATCTGAAACCTATTTTTATTCTATGACTACATTGAATTCCAAATATATTACTCCGTAGTATATTATTGGTAAGGAATATATTTGATGAGTTTGTGTCTGGTGTCTTAACATATTTTTTTATGGTTATTTTAATGCCTTCTCTTTAACCACTTCACTTCATTTTGCTTCTTTTAATTTGGTCATCTTGCAAGAATTAGGATGCCGACGGCATTGTGTGAATGACCATCTTTTTGTTTCATTTGTTTGAGTGAGTTATGGTTGATTCAAATGCATTTGCAACCCTCTTCAGTGACTGAAAATTCAGTATTTTTGCCTTCCATTTTAGGCGGATACGACAAGCCGAACGCTATACTTGGGCAGCGTCCCGAGGGGTCAATGAAGAAAAGCTTTTAGAGGATTTACCTGAAGATATCCAAAGAGATATACGGAGGCACCTTTTTAAATTTGTCAAGGAGGTGGGTTTTGAGTTAACAACAATCCTAGCCATTACAATACATTATTGACTTATGTGTGTGTGGGGTTGAATTTGCTTCATAAATAATGGCATTGTTGGTTGAACAGCCACATCGCTTTTCTTTTTCGCAAGGACTAGACTTTTTTAACTAATGTAAGCTATTAGAAATTAAGGTATCCAAATATTTAAGTTTGAAGGAGACAATAAATCCACCAATTTATGTACTGGTGACTCGTAGTTTGAAGTAATGCAGACTATATGGATTCTGTGTTGATTTGCAGGTCCGCATTTTTGCAGTTTTAGATGATACAGTTTTAGACTCCATTCGCGAAAGGTTAAGACATAAGACATACATAAAAGGAAGCATTGTTTTACACCAAGGTGGTCTTATTAACAAGATGGTTTACATAATCCGGGGAACGATGAAAAGCACAGGAGAGGACGGAAATGAGGCCCTGTTGTATAAAGGCATTGCTTGTGGGGAAGAACTCCTCACTTGGTGCCTAGAACATTCTTCTGCGAGTAAAGGTAGATCTAAAATTCTTTTGAGGAACGTAATATTTTGAGAAATATTACATTTCGTTTCATGTAGATGTTTTTATTTTGTCCTTGGAGGCATAACTCTTAACTCTGTACTTCCAGGTGAGCTTATCCAATATCCACTTGTTACACTTTATGTCCTTTTGAAGTGTTAAGACACGGGGTTCCGTCCTAAAAGGTCAACCTTATAGGAGGAGTAACCCAAAGCCTTATATAGTGTTTAATTGTTTTATAGCTTTCCGGTGTGGGACAAATACTTCAACACGCCCCCTCAGTCCGAACCGGACTGGACAATATCGGGGTGTGTAAACGGGCCAAACAGACCCTTAACAAGCTACCCGTAATCATGGATGCTAAACAAGCAGTCAAACCACAACCGGAATTGGCTCTGATATCATGTTATCAGAATTAAGCATATAATAGTAATGAGAATGGAAGAATTTTCTGTGTATTTCATTGGAGGGATAAGTCCCTATATATATACATTACAAAGATAGAATATTCCTATAAGATGCTATGCAATAATAATATCTTAGAGTATATTCCTAAAATATTCTAAAGCATATTCTAAAGATAGAAGAATATTCTAAAGCATATTATACAGCATATTCCAATGTCTTTCACACTCCCCCTCAAGTTGGAGCATAGATATTTATCATGCCCAACTTGTTACATAAATAACCAACACGAATTCCATTTAGTGCTTTAGTGAACAAGTCTCCAAGTTGCTCTCCCGTCTTCACATATCCTGTAGAGATCAATCCTTGTTGTATCTTTTCTCGAACAAAGTGACAATCGACCTCAATATGTTTTGTTCTCTCATGAAACACTGGGTTGTTGGCAATGTGTATAGCAGCCTGGTTATCACACCAGAGTTTAGCAGGCATTGGTGTCTTCAGTCCGATTTCACTCAATAGATGGTTTATCCAGATTATCTCACATGCCGATTGTGCCATAGCCCGATATTCCGATTCAGCACTCGAACGAGAAACCACATTCTGCTTCTTACTTTTCCAAGAGACGAGATTACCACCAACAAAGACGCAATAGCCAGATGTGGATCTTCTATCATCTTTAGATCCAGCCCCATCAGCATCTGCAAAGCATTCTATGCGCATGTGATTATGATTTTGATAAACAATACCTCGTCCTGGTGTCCCCTTCAAGTAACATAATATATGCTCTACAGCATTCCAATGATCAACTGTCGGAGATGACATATATTGACTTACTACACTCACTGAGTATGCAATATCTGGACGGGTAACTGCGAGATAATTAATCTTTCCAACCAACCTTCTATATCTTTCTGGATCTTCGAATGGTACGCCTTCATGAGTGAGCTGCACATTGGGAATCATGGGAGTATTGCTCGGTTTTGCCCCCAGTTTCCCTGTTTCAGTTAGCAAGTCAAGCACATATTTACGTTGAGATAGAAATATGCCTTTCTTGCTCCGTATAACCTCAATCCCCAAGAAGTATTTCAATGAGCCCAAATCTTTCGTCTGGAATTGACTATGAAGAAAATTCTTAAGAGCCAAAATACCTGCATTATCACTCCCTGTAATCACAATATCATCGACATACACCACAAGCAATGTGATACCTGCTTTTGTTCGTCTGTAAAATACAGAGTGATCTGATTTGCCCTTTATCATTCCAAATCGTTCAATTGATTGACTGAATTTCCCGAACCATGCACGGGGACTCTGTTTCAAACCATAAAGAGACTTGCGAAGTCGACACACTTTTCCATACTCCCCCTGAGCAACAAACCCTGGGTTGCTCAATATAAACTTCCTCTTGAAGATCACCGTGCAAGAATGCATTTTTAATGTCCAACTGATGTAAGTGCCAACCATTAGTTGCAGCGAGAGAAATAAGTAACCTGACAGATGTTAATTTAGCAACAGGAGAAAAAGTGTCCGAATAATCAACACCATAGGTTTGAGCATAACCCTTCGCTACTAATCGGGCTTTTAAACGAGCAACGGATCCGTCAGGGTTAACCTTTACAGCAAAGACCCACTTACATCCAATAGATTTCTTCCCTGTAGGCAAGTCTACCAAATCCCAAGTACCATTAAGATCCAAAGCATTCATTTCCTCTACCATGGCATGACGCCATTCAGGATGAGACAAAGCGTCTTTAACAGATTTGGGAACAGAAATAGAATCAATGGAAGCAATAAAAGAACATGAGGTAGATGATAACTGATTATACGACACAAATGAAGAAATAGGATGAGTACAAGACCGTGTACCTTTACGTAGTGCGATAGGGAGGTCAAGATCTGATGTAGAGGCAGGATCTGGAGATGCAAGTAGTGGTTCAGGACATGAGATCGAGACCGGATCAGTATCAGGATAAGTAACCACAGGTGGAGGGTGATCTTGTACTTTGTTTCGACGGGTGTAGACCAAGTGTACCGGGGGCCTAGGCTCAGGAAAAGTAACATGTGGAACAACGGCTGAAGCAGTGGACTCGAGTATAGTGACTGTGTAAATGAGTATATCATCATTCTCCCTACAAATATTTGTCTCTGTTGATGAAAACGGTGTATTTTCATAAAAGGAGACATCAATTGAAACAAGATATCGACTCGTACTTGGACAAAAACATCTGTAACCCTTTTGAACTCGAGAGTAGCCTAAGAAAATGCACTTTAATGACTTGGGATCTAACTTTGTTAAATGGGGATTAACATCTCGTACAAAACAAGTGCAACCAAATATTTTAGGAGGGATAGGAAAATTTTCATTATTTGGAAATAGGCACTGATATGGAGTTTTACCATCCAAAACAGTAGATGGCATTCTATTGATCAAAAAACATGCGGTAGACACAGCATCTGCCCAAAACTGTTTAGGCACATTCATTTGGAATAGAAGAGCCCGCGCAGTTTCTAATAGATATCTGTTCTTTCGTTCGGCAACTCCATTTTGTGGAGGTGTGTCTACACATGAAGTTTGATGAATGATGCCATGTTGAGCCATATACGACTTAAATGAGGAAGACAAATATTCTTGAGCATTGTCTCCCCTTAAAATACGAACAAGTACATTAAATTGAGTTTTAATTTCAGCACAAAAGGCACAGAAATGAGAAAATAACTCAGAATGACGTTTCATGAAATATATCCAAGTCATACGAGAATAATCATCAACAAAGGTAACAAAATACTTAACACCAGTTTTGGACACAGCAGGGCAAGCGCCCCAAACATCAGAATGAACAAGTTCAAAAGGAGCATGTGCTCGTTTATTGACTCGGGGACTTAAACTAGTTCGATGATGTTTTGCAAATTGACATGAATCACACTGTAAAGATGACACCTTATTAAATTGAGGATGAAGTTTCTTTAACAACGGGAGAGAGGGATGGCCTAGTCGATAATGAGCCTCTAACACAATTCCAACTCCAAGACATGAGATGGATTTGGGTAAGGATGTATCCAAGAGATAGAGACCAGCCGACTCATATCCTTTACCAATAACCCGATTCGTCACCAGATCCTGAAAAACACAATATCCAGGAAAAAAAGTTACAAAGCAATTAAGATTACGTGTGATTTTGCTGATCGAAATCAAATTAAAGGCAAAGTTTGGAAGACTTAGGACGGGTGACAAAGGTAAGGTAGGTGTTGGGACAATTGTACCCGTTCCAAGAACTGGTGACGTAGATCCGTCAGCCAAAGTAACACTAGAAGTATGAAGAGGTGTGTGGAATGAGGAAAAAAGACTAGGATTACCTGTCATATGATCTGTTGCCCCTGAATCGATAACCCATTTTGAGGATGAAGACACAAGACGTGTGTTTGGATTACCTGAATTAGCGACAGCTGAGATAGGAGTAGATGAATGCTTTAGAGTCTCTTGGTAGCAAAGAAATTTGGCGTATTCCTCAGAAGACATACTTATTGATCCATCAGAAGACTGTGTAACGGAAGCAATGTGAGCAACCTGATTTCCTTAATTTTTGAATTTTAATTTTCTACAATCTTTGATCAAGTGTCCAGGCTTTTTACAATAGTTGCATACTATGCCTTTGCCAGATGGACCAGCACGTGGATATTTCTCACCTCCTCTGGTGAATGTCGGAACTTGCCCTACAAATGCATTGCTTGACTGAGGTGCTAATGGTGTGGATGAAGTATCGGTGCGAAGCACTCTAGTGAAAGACTCTTGAAGAGAAGAGACCTCATCACTAGATAAGATATGTGATTTGGCTGTTTCAAATTCAGATGTTAGACCAGCCAAAAAACTCATCACTGCCATTTGTTCTCTTTGTTTCTGCTGCACTTTGATATCAGGACTAAATGGCATTAATGTATTCAGCTCTTCATAGGTTTTCTTGAAATCCATAAAATAAGCCGTGAGAGGCTTATCTTTCATTTCTGCTCTGTAAAAGGCTTTGCACACCTCATAGATGTGGTTAAGATTACCTTTTCCAGAATACATAAATTCCAAATAATCAAACAATTCTTTCACAGTATCGCAATGACTAACGTACCCCATTACCTCATTCTCCATTGAGTTTTGAATCTGGATAAATAATCTAGAATCGTCACGAAGCCAGGCAGTATTAGCAGCTCTATCAACCTCCTCCTTTGGCGGGTCATCAAGTAAGTGGGTATATTTATCAATGCTCCTTAAATAACGTTTGATAGTTTTACTCCATTCAAGATAATTGGAGCCACAAAGTTTATTCTCAGTAATTTTAAAATTAATGGGAATAACTTCAGAAACTATCAAAGGCTGACTTCGTGTTACTGCGGAGGTGTCAGTGTCAGAACCAGGCATTTTTTTTTCTGTTTTTTTTTTTTTTTGAGACCGTAATAAAGTTTAAAATTGAGATATTTAATTTAATGAGAACTTACAGCAGCCCGTTTTGGGCTTGAGAACAAAAGATACAATCTGCTTGGGCTTTGACTGCTACTCCAGACATAAGTCAGATGCCAGACCCCAACGAATAATCAGCCACATGAAATAGTGTGTGTATGTCCACAGACTGAATGAGTAATTGTCGGAGTCGGAAATTCGCCGGGTAGATGGTCGGACCTGGCAGAGATTCTGAATAGAGAGGGCTAAAATAAATCTGTCCTGGGAGACAGAATGGTGCCTAGAGGTTCTGAAGAATCTGAACTGAACTCAGGTTTCTTTGAGGAAGAACCCAGTATGAAAAACTAAGCTAAAATCTAAAAGAAAAGGAACTAAACTGAAATGGAGTCTCTGATACCATGTTACGACCCGGGGTTCCGTCCTAAAAGGTCAACCTTATAGGAGGAGTAACCCAAAGCCTTATATAGTGTTTAATTGTTTTATAGCTTTCCGGTGTGGGACAAATACTTCAACATGAAGATTGAGTTGAAACAGAATAAACCTAGAATGCCTTGAATGGTAGTTTTTTTTTTTGTGATGTGTGACATAGAAATTAGGTCATACTTCATGAGAAATTAGAAGGGAGAAAACACAATAACTGAGGAGATAAGGTTGAGTCTTGGTTGTCCATGCTTCCCTATAGTGTAAAACTTGTATGATTGATAGAATAACTGTATTAAATTATTGATGGTGTTAATATTCAATAGAATAGTAGAATACATTAAGAGGTTTATAAGATCTAAATATATACTCCCATTGTCCCTACTTTGTCTGGTTTGACGGGTATGTGGAATAATAAAGTAAAAACTATGTGATTGATGTTTGTGCAAAAGAGAGAGAAATAACAATAATCTCAAATGAATTGCTTATAATCCGACGAGGCAACTAAAGCATTTAGCAAACCAGAGTTGTAACTTGGATCTCTAGAATCCGCCCACTTAAACAGCTTAGGTGAAGGACTGGTGCTTGACTAGCGTCTAGCAATTTTTATAACATTGGTATATATATCATAGTAATAGACATCATATTTGAGTCGAGGCAACAGCTTGAGCACGATTTAGGAATAAACTTAAACAATGTGTACAATCATTAATTTGTTTATATCATTTTCTTTCATCTAGATGCAAGAAATATGAGGGTTCCAGGACACCGGCAGATTAGTAATAGGGTTGTGCAGTGCCAAACTAATGTTGAAGCATTTATATTGCGAGCAACAGATCTTGAAGAGGTCACTGCTGTGTTTGCCAGATTTTTTAGGAGCCCGCGTGTTCACGGTGCCATAAGCCCATAAGGTAATTCTTTTTCTTTCGTGATAGCAAATCCTCATTGCATCTTCTTTTTCGGCTTTAGTAATATAATACTACTATATTAATACTAACAAAATACATTTTCCGTCAACCTCTAGTAGGGATGTTTTCTTTTGGACTGTTTTCAGTCCCAGATCAGAGCAGACAAGACTTCTGTAGTTATAAAATACACAAAGACCATACATTTACCGGACCAAATAAGATCAGACCAGCAAATTTTAATCCAAAAAAAACATTTTAGATCTTGAGAGATTATTTATTTGTTACTACCTCATCCCACTAACATTGGGACATGAGGAGGTGGTGAAGTTATTAAGAAAGGGAATTTATGTGGTTGATAATGAATTGATAAAGTAAGAATGATTTAAGACCACACAAATTTTACCAAATTTGATCTGAGACAATCTTTGTGGGACGGACTAAAAAAGAAATATGGAACAATCATAATGGGACGAAGGAGTACTTAGAGCATCTCCAATGCTAGAATTTACACGGTACACATGTGGCATGAGAGTTAGCCACATAAATATTATCAAATAAATTATCTCTCTCCATATTTGAATGATTTTATATAGTTTTGGTAAGTTTTGCAATGTCAACCACAATGTCAACATCAAGACGGTCTTCTTGACATTGTGGAGAAAAACTTAACAAAATTGTATAAAACTATTCAGATAAGGAGAGAGATTATTTATTTACTAATATTTATGTGGTTATCTCTCATGCCACATGTGCACCGTGCACATTCTAGCATTGGAGATGCTCTTATGTATGTTCTCTCTCAAATGCCACTAGCTTGAGGAGTTGGAAGCTTGTTAATATTAATGTGCAAGACTAAGTAATGTTTGTTTAATGTAAACCTAGAAGTTCAAGAGGAAAGTTGGAACTTTTATTTTGTTAAGGACCACTTAAGGCTTAATTTGGGAGTTAGGAGGGAATTGAGAAATCGGATGGGAAGGGTATGAGGAGAACGGGAGGGAGGTTAGAGGCGGAAAAACGTCTATCTTGTTTGAATGTTGCAAATTTAGTTACACGGTTGTTGGAGCAGTTGAAGAGTTATAACTTAATAAGCTGATATGAAAGAATATGAGAGAATAGTATGCCTACTAATTTTTGGAGTCCGATGCTTTATTTACAGTATGTAATATTGCATGTACCGAGTTCTTTGGTAATGAGGATGTTTTCTTGTGGACTGACATTTGTTGGTCAGGTAAGGTAAATGTCATCTTTGTGTATTTATAACTATGGAAGTGTGGTCTCATCTGAGACTGAAAATAGTCCAAAAGATATCATCCTTACACCTTAACAAGAATGACGTTGGAGGGTTTGCATACAAAACTACACTTTCCCTCTCACCAGTTCACCGTGTGTGTGTGGGGGGGGAACCCGTGTGGGTGTGTGTCATTTTCATAATTGAATGCTTACAATTTTTATATGATTTCTTAATTTATTTGTTAGTTTTAACTTATGGTTAGTTTTTTTGTATTTAAATATTATATTTTGTAGGGTGCCATGAGGTAATTCTTTTTCTTTCATTATTACGTTTTGAATTATAACTTTTATGAAAAAATGACTAATATATGACTTACGTTTTGAATTATAACTTTTATGAAAAAATGACTAATATATGACTATAATAAAGACAACTGGTAAAATGTGATTCCTTTGACAAACTATAGTAATTTTTAGTGATTATTATGTTCAATTTTGCACAAGTGACTGAATGTATGCTCATAGTACGTAACTGTAGTCATTTTTTGCTTGCAAATTTATTTCACTATTTTAGGTAAAATCTTTACTTTTTTATTGTATTTTTTGGGTTATTAGAATTTTAGTTCTTTATTCCTACTCCACTTTATTAATACTATCTATTAATTTGTAGTTTTTAGCTTTTGTTAGATTATTTTGTAATTTATTTTTCTACATTTATTATTTGTTTTCTTTTGTTTTATTTACATTTTTGAAGGTTTAGAAAGTCGTTCCTTCCCATTTCAAAAATTCGAGAGGAAGAGAGGACCTCAAAATGGCCAAACCTCCACTCCCAAATTCAGACAGAAACCATCAAATCCTTTTTGATAGATTTTTGGGAAAATGGAAATTAATAATCCAACCTTTTAGCGGTCTTCTTTCAATAATCTCACCTTTGGATTATTCATGAATAATCCAATCTTTGCACCTCATCTTCATTCACTGGTCCCTGACCGGTTGATGACCTGCTATTCCAAGCTATTTTCTTATATTTGCAAAATATTATCTTTGTGAAAGATGAGATTTATGGTGTAATGCTTTGCAAAGATAAGAAAATAGCTTGGAATAGCAGGTCATCAACCGGTCAGGGACCAGTGAATGAAGATGAGGTGCAAAGGTTGGATTATTCATGAATAACCAAAAGGTTGGATTATTGTAAGAAGACCTCTAAAAGGTTGGATTATTAGTTTCCATTTTCCCTAGATTTTTTAGGTCATTCAACTCGTAATTAACGTTGCCATTTTTTGTCGGCCAAATATTGTTGTAAACATGATGCTTATTTGATTGAGAATTTTGATTACTGACATAATGCTACACTTTATTTCTGCAAGCATATCTTTCAATGTGTATTTTTGTATGCATAACGCTAAGCAAGTATGTGTCTCCTTATTAGCGAGCACTTGCAGCGAGACACATTCAAGTTGGATGGAGATATTGGAGGAAGCTAGTGTCAAACTCATGAAGACAACATCAATCAGAGAGTCATGCAAATAGTGTCGTCCCGCATTGCAATTCTCTCGTTAGATTGAACTATGCGAAAATGCAATTTTTTGTTGATTATTACAATGTATTACTCTCGAGTTAAGGTTCTCATTCTAAAATGACATATTTTTTTGATAATAACTGAATAAAATTGAGTTAGATTGAGAAGTAGTTTGAGAAGGTATATGATATAATGAGGTAATACTAGGGGTAGTTTGAGAAGGTATTTTTAATTGAACATCTTAGTTTTCACTTTCTTGATGAATAAAACACTTTCTCAATGAACAAAAGATAATATTTTCTAATTAATAATAAAGGAAAAGAATAAATGAAAACTTCTCTTCCATAAGCAGTTTGTAACCTAGCGCAGTCTAGGGTGGTTTGGTCCCGGCTGGCAGAATTTTGCCATTGTCTGGGGGTAGTTTTTGGCTGTTTTGCCGTAACTTGTTCGGTTTTTCTTTTTTGCTCTGTGATTTTGTATTAGCCTCATGAGTGTGGTGAGTTGGAACTGTAGAGGGTTGGGGAATTTGTACAAGTCCTAAGCGATCTCGTTAAGGAAAAGAGACCAACAATCCTTTTTCTCATGGAAACAAAAGCAGGGTTTTACTATGTGGTGGAAAGTGTAGGCTTAAGTGGAGGATTATTACTATGCTGGAAGGAAGAAATCGAAGTCAAGGTATTGGAATCCAATCAAAATTTTATAGATACTTTAGTCAAACTACAAGGAGAACCAGGGAGGTACACGGGGTATTATGGATGTCCAGAACGTGATAAACATAGGATGTCATGGAATATTCTTAAACGGCTGGCTAGGAATAAACCAGGATTCAACATTGTGGCTTGTAATGGGAGATTTCAACGACATCATGCATGCAAACGAGAAACGGGGTGGACTGCCACGAGAAGCATGGCTGATATGTGGATTTTGGGAGGCAGTTTGGAGCAACAGTTTGAGTGATTTCAATTTTGATGGGTACCAGTGGACTTGGGAACGAGGACGAGGGACTTCGGCATTGATAGAGGAAAAGCTTGATCGTATTTTAGTAAATGACGGATGGAGAAACATGTTTTGAGGGGCAAAGGCTGACATCACTGAAGGATTGTCCAGTGACCATCTTATGTTAATGATGTATGCTAAAATGGGGTGTGGGAGGAGGTACACCCGACCGTTTAAATTCGAGGATCTTTGGGTGAGAGAGGAGGAATGTAGAGAGGTTATTCTGAGAAGCTGGAGGTTCACAAGGGGTAGCAACCTATGGGGGAAGCTGGAGAATTGTGGTGAGGCTCTTAATAAATGGGGGAAGGAACGTAAACAAGGCTTCCGGACATGAATTGATATTTGCAAAAAAAGAATCAAGTGGTTGTGGAATGCAGGAGGGACTCAAGCGGAAGCTGAATTGCAGAGGGTAAGAGCCACCTTAGTTAACTTATTGGAGCAACAAAATGTGTTTTGGCGACAGCGTGCTAAAGAATTTTGGTTACGGGAGGGCGATGTGAACTCAAAATTCTTTCACAATTGCGTAAAATAGCGGAGACGCGGGAATACTATGTTGGGGTTGAGATCACCATAGGGATCATGAATTACGGATAGAGCGCAAATGGGCAATATTATTTCCGAGTATTTTGAATGTTTATTCTCTACTACAGGTACAATGTGTGAAGGGGTAAATATAGCCTCTGAAAGATGTGTTACAGAGAACCAAAACAGAAGCTTACTTCGGCCTATAACTCCCATAGAAGTTAAGAATGCAGTTCTTGCTATGCACCCAGATAAAGCTCCGGGACCGGATGGAATGAATCCGGGGTTTTTCAAAATTATTGGGACAGTGTAGGGGGGAGGTGGTCAATTTCTTTAAATCAGTATTCGAGTCAGGGAGAATTCCAGAGGTGATGAATCGGACGAATTTAGTCCTAATTCCCCAAAAAAAGACCGGGGGATATGGGGGATTGGAGACCTATAACACTTTGTAATGTGACGTATAAGATCTTCTCAAAGGTCTTAGCTAATAGGATGAAGGGTTTATTAAAGAATATTGTGGCGGAAAATCAAAGTTTGTTTGTACCGGGAAGGTCCATAATTGATAATCTTATGATAGCTTTTGAGACCCAACACTTTGTTCGCCGAAAGAGGAAAGGTAAGGAAGGTTTTGTTGCTTTAAAACTCGATATGAGCAAAACATATGATAGAGTCGAATGGCCCTTTTTGAAGGTGGTGATGGAGAAGATTGGTTTTGATGCTAGGTGGGTGTCGTTAATGATGGCTTGTGTCTCATTAGTGTCTTATAATATCTCTTTTGATGATTCAGTAATTGGTCTGATTATTCCACAACGAGGTCTTAGACAAGGGGATCCTTTGAGCCCATATTTATTCATTTTAGTGACAGAGGGTTTGAGTGCTCTGCTTAGACGACATGAGGGACTCGGAAATTTAAATGGGATAGTAGTGGCAAAGAAGGCTCCAAGAGTGTCTCACCTTCTCTTTGCCGACGATTGCTTTCTCTTCTTTAAAGCAAAACAGGGAGAGTGTGAGGTGATAAAAAATATTTTGGCCACTTATGAAGGATGTTCTGGGCAAAAGGTCAATTATAACAAATCTAGTGTGCAGTTTAGTCCTAATGTCCGAATAGAGGTCCAAAATGAGTTGTGTGCTATATTACAAGTTAACACGGAGGAGGTGCCCCGAAACTATCTAGGGCTGCCAGCTCTTGTTGGTAGAAATAAGAATGGGATTTTAAGCTATTTAAAGGAAAGAATAGTGAAGAGGCTAGATAGCTGGAATAACCGGTGGCTATCTAGGGCGGGTAGAGAAGTGCTTCTCAAAATGGTTATTCATGCAATGTCCTCGTATGTTATGAATGTTTTTTTGTTTCCGGATGAGCTTTGCATTGAAATAGAACGACTTATGAATGGGTATTGGTGGCGGGGAAATGATTTTACGGGGAAAGGGATTAGATGGATGAGGTGGATTTCTATGTGTTTACCAAAGGCTAAGGGAGGGTTGGGATTAAGAACGTTGAAAGAATTCAACATTGCGCTCGGCAAGCAAGCATGGAAGTTAATGACGGAACCAAAAACACTGGTTAGTCAAGTTTTCCAGGCCAAGTATTATCCAGGTACATCCTTTGGAGAGGCAATGATGGGGGCGAACCCATTGTTTGTTTGGCGTAGTATTTTAGCAGCCCAGAAACTTGTTAATGAGGGGACTCGTCGAAGGGTAGGCAATGGGCAGACTATTTCAGTATGGAAGGACGCTTGGTTGCCAATATCAGAATCTGGAAAAGTACAATCACCTAGACCCGAAGGAGTTGCAGACATGAACGTTGCTGCATTACTCTCTGAGACCGGCAGAGAGTGGAATACTCCCGGAGTAAAGAAAAGTTTCTCACAACAATAGAGTAGTATGATTCTGGCTATCCCATTAAGTATGTGGCCTATTGATGATGGCTTATGGTGGGTGGGTGAGCCGAAGGAGAGATATTTTTTGAGGAGCGGGTACAGAAGATTGCAGGACGAGATTCATCCGGAAGGTTGGCATGGGTGGTCAGATATGTGGAATTTTGAAATCCTACCAAAGGTTAAATTGGTGGGAGCTATCCCAACAGACCCAACGGCGGACAAACTGCGGCGTAGGAAAGTTGAGCTTCCAATTGAGTGTCAGGTATGTAAAGAAGGGGAGGAATCTGATTGTCGACTATTTTGGGAGTGCTCAATGGCGCAAGAAGTCGGGTAATTTTGGAATGTCCATTTCAGAAATGTGGCCGGGACTACTATTGTGGGTGAAGGACGTTTTCAGCAAGCTATCCGTGGAGGGAGGGTGTAAATTCATTATGTTGTTATGGAGTTTATGGAAAAATAGAAATGTGGTTGTTTGGAAAGGAAGGTACGAGTCTGCTATGGCTATGAAACATTCTGCAGAAGCTTTGCTTTTAGGATGGAGAGCTGCACAAATGAAAAGGCAGAAGGTAAATTCCCGGGCGCTAGTCCAGGGGTTGAAAAGTGGAAGAAACCAGCGGCGGATTGGGTAAAAATTAATGTTGATGCTTCAATCGGGAAAGATAATGGTCGGAGAGCATGGGGGTGGTTAGCCAGAGATGGTGACGGACGTTTTATTAAAGCTAGGATTAAGTAGGGGTGGGCAATTCGGTTTCGTTTCGGTTTATTCGGTTTGAGAGAATGTGTACTAAACTAAAACCATTTGTGTTTCAGTTTGGTTTCGGTTCGGTCCGGTTTACCAAAGTAAAACTTATTAGGTTCAATTTAGTTCGATTTAATTCGGTTTCTTATGTTTATTATTTTATTTGATCAAGTTATATATTCTACAATTAGAAAATGAAAGTAGTTGTCCATATCATCTTCTTTTATTTACTCTTTAAATAAAATGTAAAAGGAAATAAAATATAGAAAAAGAAATAATAAAATATTACTACATATAAATTAAAACTTCTAACATCTTCTCAATCATAAAAAAACTTCATTTCCAACAATAAATAAATATATACTGCGTAGTTGATTAGCATTTATAATATCACATAAAATATTCAAAGAAAACTAAATGAGTTAGTGATACAAATTAAATGTTGTAATATTCACAATTTTATTCAAATGAATCATGTAAAATATATAAATGCAATTTGCTAAGGTTATCGCCAAATATCTTTTCATATAGGTAGAGTACAAACATAACAAATACCTATATGTCGTATTAGCTAACTTTGTCATAATTAATGTATAAAATGTGCAACTTGCTATATCTCTATCGCTTTAGCATTAGAGATATTCTCTAATGCTAAATTTTTATTTTTCATGTCTAAATTATTTATTTATTTCCTAAAGATGAAGAGTAAAAAAAATACAAAGTATTTATATATATATATATATATATATAGAGGAATGATCCTGTCCAGCCGGAGGGACAGGATCTTCCGTCCGGCCGCCGCCGTTTGGGGCGGTTCCCGGTGGAGTTTTTTGATGAAATTTTTATGGAATGTTCTTCATCAAGTCTAGTTTATCCACAAAAAATTTCAGCTAAAAATTCGATCGGGAAGGCAGTCAAATAATTTTTTGAAGATAACTGCTCCAACTTAAACATATAAAACGCAGTTATGTTTCAAAAAATTATTTGACTGCCTTCCCGATCGAATTTTTAGCTGAATTTTTTTGTGGATAAACTAGACTTGATGAAGAACATTCCATAAAAATTTCATCAAAAAACTCCACCGGGA